CTCAATGTGCTTTTTATGGTCTGTTTCTGTTCATCCTGAATACGCGGTTATACAGAGTGGATTGGAAAGCAGAAAAGGCCACCATGCCCATAAAGTCCAAAAGCATCATCTCTGCGCCAAAGAAAACATTCCCTATAACCTTTATGAGTGCAGACGAGTCGCGCCGACTCAAGTTGTCATGAAGTATTTTAATTAACTGGTTCTTCGGTACATTAAATTCAGCCTACTGGCCTGTTTCGATCAATACGCATAACGGCTCCACTGAGGACGATATGATCCACACAGGACTGCGGCATTAGAAATGGGTCAGTGCATTCAATTCATTATTTATTATAAAACATCATCTCACAATCTCCTCTGACATTGATATTAGACCTACATCTCTGCATGAGTAAAAGTTTTGCTTCAAAACAGACAATGCAAAACAGCCCAGCTGGCTTTTGGCAATAAGTACAAGTTTTTTTGGCATCTGGAAAATAATCCTTTATTGGAAACGGTGTGCATAAGGCCGACATGACACTGTCATGAACGTGACGTAACATCAGAGGGAGTTTTCATGAACGTTTATAACTGTAGTCATTTGGTGAGTAATGACACTTTTAATGACACTTTTAATAGACTCAGTGCAAGTTTTAATGCAACTTTGGTTTGAAAGACCCATTTACTGAATCTTCATTTTAAATTTCCTGAGAGTCAAACATCCATGAACATGGATGTCAGTTTCATGTCAGTTTTATACACACCTCTTCAAATCAAGTGTTACCCAAGTCATTTGCTCAGTTGTTTAAACCACTGTATGCACTCTACAATGACTGCTGGAAAAAAAAGTTGCGATCCAGAAGTTACTTATTGCATTCCTGTTGGTTGTGTAGGAGGCCCCAGTTCTGCTTTTCAGAGATGTATGGTTGTGTAATTGCGTGTTAGCAGCAGTTATTTATGTTACCGTCTGTGTTACGTTATTTAGTTTTTACAGTAAAGTTTGGTGGACGTGGCCAGCAGCCATTTATTTGGGTTTAAAGTGACAAGGCGCCCTGAAACTGCTCACTCTGAAAGGAGCTCAAACAAGGCAGAACTGACTAAAATCCCATTAACTAATAAATGTACAAGGATAAGTTGATATGAGTTTACTCTCAGAATATTATGACTATTCTTGTAATTTGATGACTTTATTCTCGTAATTGTTTCTTTTTTCTTTTTTTGTATGGCTCTATTACTTTGTTGTAAAACTGAAATATAAATAAAATATTTATGATGTCTTACCATTACTTTCATGCTATAAAAGAATAAAAATAAACCACGATAAATTTTTTTAATTTAAAATTTTGACAACCCTGCACAAACATCACCATTTAAGACCCGACTTTTAGTGGCACACTTTTTAGACTGCAGCCAGGAAAAGGCCGAACCCTTCTTGTAAATACACAAGCACACCCACACCAGGTGACAAATACAGTTGCAATGTCAGGCTATTTAAGGTGGGACACATTCCCGTCTGGCAGAAGGACTGTGACAGTGTCAAACCCCGCGGATGACATTGGCTTTGCAGGATCCTGCTCATTTGTCAGCAGCAGGTCATCATGAGCCACTTTCTGGGCAGAGTACAATAAATATTAACCTCAGCCTGCTGAGGTGCAGCCATTTACTGGCAGCTTGGTCGGATCAAATCTGCTCCAGAAATGAGAGAGGAAGCTTCAGATGCCAGGACTTGTTTTGGTGACGATGGCTTTAAGGTTTACATTTTAGACTTTTAATTGCCTTCCCACATCTCCACGTGTATTTTTTAGGAGGTACAAAACCGTGTAGAAAACGGCTAAAAGAGGAAGATATTTTAAAACATTTAGACTTATAAAAATCATTTTGAAGTCCTAAAGTCTTGAGCAATACAGTTTTACAAATATTTAATGATAGGTGTTTAATTAATATGAACTGAGGATGCTTGTTTATCTTTCTCTTCTTTGACACAAACTATGAGTTAATCATTCACACAGTCATATGTCAGCAATTAAAGCAAAAAGGGCATTTAAATATTTCTCCCAGAAATTGGAAAAGGCTTGAAAATAAACTATTCTGCATATTGATTTTGGAAAACATAAGAATATAACTTTTGTCAAATCTCCATCATGGGAAGATCATGTAATTTTTTCTTAAATCGATGTGAACTGTAGATTATGTATGGCCATACCAGCCAAATAAAATCTAAAGTTTTCAAAAAATTAACACTTCAAAACAAAACAAAGATGAAAAGAAAAGAAAAATTAGAATTTATTGTAAAGCCATAGTCATATTTGGTTTATGCTAAAACCTGAACTCCTGCTGCTGAAGCTCCAGGTTTATTTGTTTCACCTGTCAGAAAACTGGATGACAAATTGAATAACACAGCAGATGATGAAACATTAAAACTGGTGGAAAGAGAAAAGATTTGTGGGTTCAGCAGCTACCTGTCTGTCAAATCCTTTTCTGTGATTCTTTTTGCACTCAGTGGTGCAAGTCCAGGAATAACAGTGACATCTACACCAAGTTACAGCATCCAAGGACATCAATTTCTCCTTTATGGCACCAAAATTCAGGTAAAACCACAGCATTTTATTCTACTGAAAATCCAAATTAGTCATAAAACGGTGACTTATTCTGAATTAATGAGATCCACATCAGGAAAAGGAGTTTGAAAAACCCGCAGACTGAAACAAAACTAAATAAAATACAAAGCGTGTGATGCTTTCTTCCTGGCCTGTACAGAAAAATTTGATTTTTTGTTTGTTTTTTCAGGGCTCCTGCACATTTTGTGATGCCAAAATTTCTTACTTTAAAGAAAAAAATGTCTAGTTCTCTTTACTGTTTCAGATCATTTTAAAATGTGTAAGATTTATTCGGTGGTGTACATGACAAATGACTAAATCTCAAAATACAGTGGAAACTAAACCTGTCACAATAAATTTTACTGGACGATAAATTGCTGAAATAATCATTGCAGTCGATTATATTATGGTCTTGAGACAATTTTATAATATAAAAAAGCAGATGAAATTGAAATAACACACAATCAAAGCCATAAATAAAACAGATTACAATGTCTCTGCAAGCAAAATTGTCCTTAAAAATATTATAGATGGAAAATTTTTAAACTAAATTAGATGAGAAGAAAATATGATGAATTAATAAAACCAAACAATAATTTCTGTTCTTTAACTTCTAAATCAGTATTTCCTGATTTAATTGGATCATTGTGTTGATAGATGATTTTTTTCCCCGTCATTGCTTCGTTGCGTCTGTAAAGAATGGGATTATGGGTATTTTTCTCTCCATTTTTGCATAATGTCACCATCATTTCTGACTTTGTCTCTTCAGTTCCATCTTCACCTCATCTGAACTTTTTCAACCAGGCTAATAAAACCAAACATGGACTGGAGTCGGTTTTCCGGCTCAGAGAGCTTCATCTTCTTCAGCTGAAGCATAAAAAATGGAAAATCCTCCCCAGCCCATCTATATCGGCTGCTGGACGAATGCAGCCGATATAGATGGGCTGGAGATTCTCCTTTATCATAAAAGCAGGTTTAATTCAGACGATGCAGCTGCAGTGGAGTGAAGGAGATTAGAGACAAACAGATCCAACGTCCGTCTTAAAATCCTCACGTTTTCAAAACAGGGCTTTTAAAAGTATTTTTCTGCATTTGAATTTAATTCACAAGGTTAAATTAAGGTAAAGTGTGTAGAGGTCATTAATGATGCTTTTTATTTGAATTTGGATAAATTGCTTAATTTGACTTCTTGATTTTTTTTTTGTTTTAGCTATTCAGGGTTAAAATGCCAACAACAGGCTCCAATGGGAATTATGGTGTTTGCCTACACTGCCACCTAGCGTTCCTTTGTATTAGTACAATAATAATGTTTTCATTTAAACAGCTTATTCTGTTTTTTAAATCCTGTCATTTTATTTTTATTTTTTTGTGCTGTGTGTATTTTTATCTGTTTTGTGAATTTTATATTTAAATATTTGTTTTTTTGTGCTGACTTGTCTTAGGAAAAAGGATTCATTTTAGCTATTGTGCAAATTTACTGCCATAAATTGCAGTAGTATTGATTAATGTGTCTTAACAAATCAATTTAATAAAAAAAAAGAAAAACAAGCAGAAAATTGATAGCTGTGTTAAACCACTTAAGAATGTTAAAACCAAAACAGGAAAAAACAGAAAACATGTGGCCTTAATGAAGCCTAAAAACACAAATAGTGAATTACAACTTAAAAAAAATAACTCTGTACTTTCAGAAACCCTAAATCACTGGATACTGTCTTTAAATGTTTATTGAAAAATTAATAAACTCAAATTTGGTCTAAATTGATTTTTCATGGTATTTGACATATAAATTAATGCAGCTGATTAATGCAGATGGCTGCTTCAAACTGCACTTGTAACATTTTCGGTGCTTCTACAGTGATTTTGTTACTTTCCGGACAAAATGGAGAGCGTTGCATTTTTACCACGAACAAAAGGTTAACAGGTCACGCTGCAAGAAAAAAAAAATCAAAACATTTTGTTGAAAAAAAAGTTAATTACTGACCACCAGGGAACAAAATTATATATTTTTGCTTTCATTAATGTTACATCTTAAGTGTAGTTTAATTTGTAAATTTTATGTAAATTTGCTACAAAAATAAATAAAAGTTTAAAGGAAATCCAGTAATTCTTCTGTAAAATGTTTCAAACTGTTAAGTCTGATTAAAACAGCAACCAGATTTTTCTTTACTATTACCAAACCTCAATGCAAGTTCATTTATTCATATATGTGAAGGAAAGAAACCTTGGAAATTTATTTAAAAAACATTTTTATTAAAATAAATGGTAAACAGTTTGTCACATTTTCAATTAGGTAAAGAAACTCAGAGGAAACGAGGCTTTCTAGACAGGGAGAGTTAATCTGATAACTATCATTTTTCTATTGGACTTTTCAACTTTAATAAGAAAAAAATAATTTAAAAAGAAAAAAACACTCAGTCTGAAAGATGTGTTTTAGCCAAAGTAAGTTTCCTTGACATCTTTAATTCCAAGTTCCACCTCTGAAGTTCATCGTCTTCTTCTTCTCCTCCTTTCTTAGCGTCTTTCCAGATGTTGCTGGGAAATGAATCCGTCCGGGACGGGATCGGAGCGACTCCGTCTAAAAGGAGTTCGGTCTCTCTGTGCTCCGATGCTGCTGAGCGAGCTTACCGTAGCCGCCTCTGGCCGGGTCGTAGTCCTGCCTGTACTCATCTCTCACCTGAAGAACCCAAACACAACGACGACTCAGAAATGATATATCACTATATTTTTACTACAACAGCTTTTACTGGATGATAAATTGTCCCAGAAGTTATTGTGAAAATGGTCTCATGCTTTGAGACCATTTGTAAGTGATATAATGCTTAAAGTAATGCAGGAACACATTCTTAAAGATCAGTAAACTTTAACTTCTAATGAACATTTAAGTTCTTCTTCTTACTTGTCCTCCAGATTTCCCGCGGCCGTACTGCCTGCCCTCCTTGAAGCCGGCGTCCCAGTCCGTCCTGATGATGCGATCGTCTAGCCGTGTGCCGTTAACGAAGCGCATGGCGTTCTCAGCATCTCCCCGCGTGTAATATCTGACGCAACAGCAGCTAAGGTGTGTGTCACACACACTGAATTTAAATTTGTTAAAGCAGTCAGGCAAACACATTTTGGGTGTGGAAACGTAATTTTTCTCTGTCTGAAAGGATACTCTACAAAGCAGAATCCACAAGCCGTCTTCTTGACTTTATCCAGACCTATGATGATGCGCTTCACATCACCACATTTAGAAAACAGCTCATGCACCTGTTGTCACAACACAAATCGAAAATAAATAAACCTGAAATGTTTTGATTAATGAGACTTTAAAGTCAGATTATAACTGAGGTTTGTACCTGCTCCTCAGTGGTGTAGAAGGAAAGATTCCCCACATATAAAGTATTGCTCTGCTTCAGCAACTTCTCCTGTTCATAACGATTCCCCTAAAGCAGGAGAAACAGAGAAAACATTTCAAATCCCATCTAAAATGAATCTGTTATACATTAAAATGGAAGAAATTAAACAAGGATATCCTAAATCTACAGTAAAATAATGTTTTCTTCCAAAAATCCATTGAAAAGAAAAGTTTTTAATGCAAGAAATTTCTGAAGGTTTTGATTGTATCTATGTAATTTGTGTTTCTCTGAGGAGAAATTTCAATGTTTGTACTTTTTGTGTTTTAAAAAAAGTATCTTGAACAGAAAAAATATGGCTAAAAACAAATTAATTTTTTTAACTGAGTTAAATTTTTAAACTCTTTATAACTGAATAAAAGCACAAAATGAGAAAATGTAAATGATAGAGTTTCATTATCAAATCATGGCTTGAAATTACAATTTAAAACAAATTTTCCTTCCATTTGTTAACAAAAGTAGATGAAGACAGACAAAATTTAACCACTTTAAACACATTTTCTCATATCATCACACATTTAAACAAGTATAAGCCAGTATTTTTAGCTTGCATGTGCAGCAATATAAACAGCATATATGTGTATCTCGGGAGTTAAATAACATCATAGCAACTAGCGCGTCCATTCAAAAGCCTTAGCCGTTAGCGTCACACCTCGCTAACTTGACAGTTTAAGCTAAATTAACTTCCACGTCACCGTTAAAAAGTTTCTGGTCTCACCTTAAAGTGCTGGTCTCTGTACTGACTGACTTCGATGTATGAATCGCTATTCAAAGCGTTTAGCTTCGCGGACATCGTGATAGAAACGCAGCAAAGCGATCTGCTGCTGCTTCTTAACGCTCAGAATCGGGATACAAGAACTTCCGGTTCAGGTGAGCGTCAGTTAAAAGTCTCCGCCACCAGTGTTGTCAACCGCGCCCTCTGCTGGTAGCAAGATATAATGGGTACTTATGTGGTGGACACCGCAGCTATAATTATTACACGCCAGCAATTTTATTTTCCCCCAGTTAAATTCTCTTTTTGCTCTATATTTTATTTACATTAACTAGTAAAAGTAATATATCTTGTATGCAATAGCACCTTAAACCATTATTACTCTTTTCTTCCTGTTAAAATTCATAAAAAATATTGTTTATTTCAACATTTTAAGATATTTCTGAGGTGCAATTTATCTTTTTATGCATTTAGTTCTTTCAGTAATCTTCTGCTTGGTCTCCAAATTGTTCAACTTTGACTTATGAACACCTTTCATTTATTTTCATAAATAAATTAAACTTCAGTGTGGTTTATTGCCAATCACAAGTGTTCAGGATGCTCTTCCACAACCAGAAGACATTAATTATTCAAAGCTAAAACAACATACATAAAAATAATCACCACCAGCACTTAAAAAGAAAAAGTTAGGGAAACAATTTATTGTAATTACAAAACAAAAATTACTCATAATCACTTGGCCCCTGCCTCAGTTTTACCTGATTTACTGTCAATCATTTGTGAAAGAGGAATGTAGAAATGGAAGTAAACAAATTTTCATGAAGCAAAAACAAACAGATGAAGTGGTGTGATGTCATCCTGAACAAAAGCTGGACTTTACTGCCTAATCTCATTGTTTATTACATGATGTCATCATTTGAGTCCTACTAAAAGCAGAACAGAGGCTCTGCTGGGGTTTAGATTCATTTCCCTGGTTTTCATTTTAATCTTCTTGATCATTCTTCTTAAGTCAGATGGTCTCCATTTAATGCAGCAGCAATTCTTGGATCCTAAAAGATGAAACAAACAAAACAACTTCAGATAAGAAGAGGAAGCCAAATCTAGATTTAATTTGTGATCTACAGATGAAGATCTCACATTAACAGAAAAACAGAAATGTAAAACTATCATCCTGCAATGTTTAAATGTAAAAAAAGAAAAGAAAACCAGCTTTTTATGGTATAAAACATGTAAAAGTTAAAAACTGGTCAGCTAAAGAAGAGTCGCAAGAGTGGCATAGCTTTAATTTGGAGAAGTAAAATTTCTGCAAGTCAAGCCAACTGTTGGTCGTAACTTTTACTTTTACTCGAGTAATTTTATTGTGAAGTATTTCTCCTTTCTTACTTACTTGAGTTATATTTCTGGATTTTCTTCCCACTGAATGAAAAACAAACATGTTTTAATAAAAAATTCAAAACACAGAGAAAAAAACTGATTTGGAAAAAAATATTTTGACAAATTTTGTTATTTATATTAATTATTGTCATTTGGTCCTTCAAATACAAAAATTTCTGCTTCGCTTTATACTTTAGTTTAAATATTAAATGAGTGATAATTTGATCAGGAAATACTTTTTCCTCTTGAGTAATTTTTGGATGGATAATTTGTTTTATTTGTGCTACTCTTACTTGAGCAAAGGTTTTGGTTACTCTAAACATCACTTTAAATAAGCTAATAAAAAATAAGCTAATAATTAAGCAAATAATAAGCTAATAGTTAAGATAATAATTATGCTAATAAGCTAATAATTAGCTGATAAGCTAAGAATCAGCTAGTAAGCAAATGGTTAAGATAATAATTAAGCTAATAAGTTCATTCACTTAAATTACTCAGAAACTTTACTCAAGTAAAAGTATTAACTGAATAATTAAACCCAGTTTTAACATGCAAGAAAACAAAACGTACTTATAAATTTCTTTCAAGGCGTCCTTTATCTCTCCGTCAAAGGTCCGACCTCCTTTCGATGCTCAGCAGCTCCACCTCGAAGATCAGCGTCGCTCCTCCGGGGATCTTCGGCGGAGCTCCGCGGTCTCCGTAGCCTAGCTCCGCCGGGATGACCAGCTTCCTCTTCTCGCCCTCGCACATGCCAAGCAGGCCCTGGTCCCAGCCCTTGATCACCTGGCCGGTTCCCAGGGTGAAGGTGAACGGCTGGCCGCGGGGAATGCTGCTGTCGAACTCCGTCCCGTCCTCCAGCCTGCCGGTGTAGTGCATGTTCAGCACGTCGCCCTTGCGGGACTTGATGGGACAGTTGTCCACTCGCTTCTTGATCCCGATCTGCAGCTTCTTCTTGTCAGCTCCGCTGACCACGGCGGGGCCGAAGGAGAGAGCCGCCATGACGGCCAGGAACAGCAGCCGCATGGTTAGAGAGCAGGGAGCGGGACAAATGAACAAATTAACGGTGCGAGGAAATCCCTTTATGAAAAACGGATGTACGAGCAGTACGACCGGATGTAGTTCACCACATGGTGTTACCGGATTAACATTCCGGAGGATATTTCGGTCAAAGAACTTGTATTCTTTAAAACCGTTCCTAACTTTGTACTGTAAAAAAATGGGTCAATTTTTATAAGTACTTATTTTTTGTTAAGTCAAAAACGTTTTTTTTTACATTTGTATTTTTATGTCGTATGTAATATAATAAAATTGACGCTTTTTATGTCTACTCATTTTAATTAATATTTCATTTTAAAATGTAATATGCATTGAGAAATTTTCATTTGAATTTCATAATTCAAACGGGGGGTTCATATATATATAAACATAAACAATTATACCTGTTAACAATTGTAATATAAAAAATATATCTTCCAAGACAGCCTCCGTGTCTGTTGGTTATTTAATCCTAGACAATTCAAGGGGAATACATTTTTCAAGTTTAAAACAGAAAAATAACATGAGTAAAATATTTTAATTAAAAATTTGAAGTATCTCACATGAATTCAAACCAAACGGTTAACTCCTGCCCTTTATTCATCTGTTTTTGTCTGTCTGTCTTTTTTTTTTTTTTTTTTTTTTTTTTAACTTTCGGCTGTGGATCGAAATATCCCCGACATCCAACAGGGGGCGGTAATACAACTCAATTGAATTAACTCTGGAAGAAGAAGAAAATTCTCTTGTTGTGTTAGCAAACGTCCGCTGTCTCTTTATGTCATTTAAATCCAACTTCAGCTGAAGTAAGTAAAATTTGTTCTGACATAAAAATATGTATTATTTACGTCCTTAATGAAAACTGGTATCATTTCAGGGTTGACAGAGGAAAAGAAAAAGAGAAGAAGAAGCAGCTAACCGACGGCGGACAAAATGCTATCTCGCATGTTAGCTTATCTCGTCAACAACCTCCAGGTCATTGAGAAGTTGGCAGAGTCCCGTCCGATCCGCAGGGCGGCTCAGCTTACGGCGTACGCGCTCACCAAGGCTCAGATCGTCGGCCGGGACACTTCGGAGCGAGTCATGCGATCCCAGACGCTGCGGCAGGTCCGCCAGGAAGCCGGCAGAGTCCCCGGCGACCTGCAGGAGGTGAGCAACCGCCTGCGGAGAGTCCGGGAGACGTTCGTGAAGGAGGTGAAGGACGGATGGAAAGATGGCTCCCGGCGGATAAAAAAGTGAAGAAGAGCGGAGGGTTTCTGGGCTGCTGAAAGGACTGATGATTATGTTGAATTTAGGTCTGAATGAAGAATAACAGTTTGATGTGAGTCTAACGATCTGCCTTGTGTATTAGTTATTTTATGTACCTTATAGCTGCGGTGTCCGCCACATTATTATGGAGTAATACCTGGCTACCAGCAGAGGGCGCTGTTTATAACACTCTGTGGTGGCGGAGCCTTTTAACTGTTGCACACGAATAACTGGTTTCCACCTTCTATTGTTTTAAGATTAACTTCACTTATTTTCGTATTTTAAAAAATACGAAAAGGGTTTTTATTGTATTGGAGAGGGGGAAAACTCTGGATAAACTAATATTGGAATATTGCTATGACGGACATTCAGGACCATACTAAGAAAAAAATAATAAAATAAAAATTACGAGAAGGAAACCATGATTTCGATATTCAATACGTAGAATAAAAATCAAGCTATTACTAGAATAAAGTCAAAAAATCCCAAGTAAAGCTGTGATAATAAGAAGAGGATCACTTTATTCAGTTTTACAATTGAAGCATCATCAAATGCCTTTAGAGACTTTTGCTCCATTTTTTTTATTGCCACCTTAATCTACACATTATTTTATTATTTCACTGTGAAATTCACAAACTGCTGTCCTGCCAAAGAGCTTCTGCAGCTCTGTACTTGTAAAACATATTGTGCTGGAAACATTTTTAAATTTGTAAAAATGTATATCTATGTATATATAATGAGTTTATCTGCCATTACAGTTTAAATAAAGACTCTATTTTATACCAGATTATTTCCAAAGTGAGTAAAGATGCAAAATATAGAAAGAAAATTTGGAGTTAGCAATATTTTGAGCTGTGTGGGAAAGTTACTTATTCATCAAATCGGAAATTATTCCACCAATGTTCATAATTTATTAAAATAATTTGCATTTTTAGACATTTAACAAAAACATTAAGCAAAAAACTGTTGGAAAACACGGAAATGAGAAAGAAGAAGTGAAAAAAGAACTGCAAAATAAGAAAAGTAGGGACAGTTGGAGAAAATATGTCAAATACGTGAAAGAATAACTTACATGACTCAGTTCATTTTGCTTACATGTTTATTTAATTTAGACAAGCACAGAACAGCAGCGGCTTAATGCAGTAATACTTATGCAGGCACACTGGCCTGGCAACTAAATATTAGTCACACGTTTCATCATTTCACAAAGAAATAAATCTCTATCAGAAGGAAGAGAATGTGTCAACGTCTGACAGCATGAGTCAGTACATATACACTGATATGGCACCTGAACGTCATATAAAAATAAATCTTTCATTGTAGGAAAATACACAACAATCAGCAGTTTAAAGCAAAATAAAATGGAGCAACAAAAATAAGAAGACTAACTTATGAAGATAAGTTTGTTTTGGTCAGAAGAAGTGAGAAACAAACTTCATTTTTTATAATAATTGTACCAAAATTTTAGTGTATTTTCTTTGAGGTAAATATGATAGCAACCTATTTAAAAATCAGTTTTTTGATGAGGCGCTGTGTAAATGTAACAGGTGGCAGCATACACACTGATATGGCAACCCACCCTCCGTAAACAAAATGGCGCCCTCCATCTTCTTCTCACATGGTGTCAAATCTCTGCCAAACACAATGTTTCTCTTCATTGCTCCAATCAGCTCCTTGTAAATTAACACACAAACAAACTGGATTGGGTTTCTAGAAAGCAACTAGCGTGAAGCTACAAAATGATTTGACTAGACCGCAATCAAACGAGTTAAAAAGCAGCAAAAGAAAAGAAAGAAGTGATGAAGAGGCGATTGACAGTGTGAAGAAGAAACACAGGTCAAAAGGTGAATCTGGAGTCGCTGTGTCACATCCAGTTGTTGGTCAACATGAGGCTGAGCAACGCAACCAGCAGCAGCAACGCAGAGGAGACGACTGCAACGACAACCAGAAAACATCAAAACCCACATTTTCATTCCTTTCTACATGAGGGAGATTTTAATAGACAGAAAGAAAGAAATGAGCAACTTTCTGCTGAAAAGCCCCAACAAAATCTGAAACTTTGAGATTAATGTCAAAAATCTTCAAGAAAAAACTTGGAAATTTCTTAAACATGTTCTAAAACAGAAAACCTAAAAACGTGAAGTCAATCACAAAAATGATCTGGAAAAAAAGACTTTCTGGTTTGAAAAGTTGAAAAATGAAAAAAGAAAAAATTAACATTTCTAGGATTAATTAACACTTTCGGTTTTCTATGTAAAGTGCATTAAAATACATTTTATTGTTGTTTATTGTTAATCTAAGAATTTAGGAGTTTTTTTTCTAGCAGATTTTCCACTTTTCAAATTCAAAAATTTCCAAAATATTTTGGAAAAAAATTCTGAGATTAATCTAAAAATTTGATTTTTTTTCTAGCAATTCTTTTTTACTTTTAGAGATAAAAACATTACTTTTTTTCTAGAAAATATCTAAAATTAAAGCCAAAATCAGATTTTTTTTCTTGAAAATTTCAGACTTTTAAAACTCAAAAATTTCCGAATTTATTTTCACAAAAGTCCCTGAGGTTGATCTCAAATGTTGATATTTGTTTTTGTAAATTTTCAGCTTTGGAAACTGAAATTTTCTTGTTTTTTCTAGAATATTTCTGAGATTAATCAAAATATTTCAGAGCCTGTTAGATTTAACTTTGCATGTGGAATATCTGTAAACATAAGAACTCTATATAACTGTCTGGCTTTCCTCTGAAGAAACTAATAAATTCGACTTGATTGCATCATTTCATAACTACAGTTTAATTGGAATCCATGCAATTACAGTAGAATTTGTTTGTGGTTAATTTTAATAATGATTCTGAATATAAACCCAAGAGTTTTAATGTTTCTCTCAGAAAACTAAGTATTTTCACCTGTGTTTGAGGAGCTGCACTCCATGTCCTCCAGTGAGGTCATGTAATCCTGACCCAGCCACTCCTCGTACGTCTTCTTGTCGCCAACACCGATGATGCGAACAGTGGAGTCTTTGAAAATCAGGTCTGTTCCCCCGTAGCGCTGAGAGTCGAACATCTTGAACTCAGAACTGGTGTCACTGCCGAAGTGGGTCTGCAGACACAAAGGAAGAAATTCAGGAAAACTGGAGAAACGACAGAATCACTGCCAACCTTAAGTTTTGCATTAAGGTCTGTCCTAAATCATCAAATCTTTCCGCACATCAGCATTGGCTGTGTTTCCATTAACCATGTAATCGCACAATTTGACATTTTGAAAATAAATTTGGTTAATGATTAAAAAAGTTTCTGCGCTGGGATAACTTGGTTTAGTTTACAAAAGTGCAATGGACACATTTTGTTCGCAGCATACGAGTCACGTGACCAACAACCATGTTACTACTGGCAGAAACGACAAAGAAGACGAGAAGAAATAGTTTTAGGATATTTTTTAAATGACTTATTGTGTGAAGAAACTTAATCTGTGATTTAAATCACGTTTCTTATTTAACAGAAACACCAAATTGCAAAATTGTGGTTTTTTTCAGGATTAGCAGAATATTGACAAAGATTTTAATGTGTGTAATGGAAGTCCAGTTACTAGCTATGCAAATTAAAACTGCAAAAACAAATTAGCTTAATGGAAACAAGTTAATTTTCAAAAACCATGTTTTCCAATAAAACATTTTTTGTGCTAGGATTACATCATTTTTTTCCTGTATCAAAATCAGTGTATTTTGCAAAACTGCAATGGAAAAGTTTATTTTCACACAAGTCACATGATCAACAACCAGCTGTTACTACTGGCAGAAATGACAAAGAAGACGACAACATTGCCGTTGTACAATTGTGATTTGCGCACATTTGTAATGGAAACCCAGTTACTAGTTATGCAAATTTAAATTTCAAAAATAAATTTGCTTAATGGAAACATGCCAATTTAATAGAAAAAGAAAAGAAAACTTCCTAGTTTTCAATAAGAACCTTTTGTGCTACAATGAGGAAGTTTTTGACCGTATCAAAATTTGTTTTATTTTGCAAAACTGCAGTTTTTTTTATTTTTCTTTCACACAAGACACATAATTTAACACCAAATGTTACTACTGGCAGAAACCATGAAGAAGACGACAACAGGAAGTTTTTTTTTATGACATATCGTGTGAACAAACTTATTGTTGTGTGATTTTAATAGTATTTCTTGTTTATTTGGAACATTGTGATTTGTGTATATTTGTAATGGATATGCAGCAGGTGAAGTGACAAATCTCAGTTTCTAGATTCTAGATTTCTAGATTTTCCACTTAAAAATTCATTTTCATTATAAACAATCAGTGTGGTGCCAGACTTTTTCACGGTTTTGACTAAACTCTGGGCAGTCCTGACCTGTGCGCGGTCCAGCAGCCCGTAGATGGCGTGGATGTTGGTTTCTGGTCGCACCATGACGGCGTGGGAGGGAACTCTGGCCAGGTTGCACAGCCGGTACTGGGAGACTTCGGCTTTGGTTCCCTGGGAACAGAGCAGCTGGAAGTCTGTGGACACCAAACCCGCAGCCCAGCTTTCCGTGGAATGACCTGAAACGACGGCGGTCGAGTTAATTCCCGTCAGAACCTCTGAGATGATTTCTGAAATATTTCTCACCATCTGTGTATTGGAAGACAGTGGAATGCTTGACGAAAGCCACGTCTCCGTCCCCGCTGGCCAGACACCTGCATGAGCAAATTACTGCTTTTACACCTTAAATAAAAACATGACACGTCGCTTTTACTTAAATATAAACTTAAATGGAGAAAAAATATTCTAAAAATGGCATTTAGATGAAACATTCATAATTCTTTAAAGTTTACTCATTGCTGAGGCTTTTATACATTGAAATGTTACTCAACTGCAACTGATAATTATTTTAAAAATAGATTATAATCTGGTTTAAAAAAAGACACATTTTGCAGACATTTCATTTAACTGCTTAAACCTTTTCTACACAATAGTAGAAATTAATGAAAAGATGCAAATATGCTTCTTGTTTTTATTTCAGTACCGTTTTGGGTTCTCTGTAAGTTAGTGATGCGTTTGAATCCTAAAGAAAAAAACGTAAAACATCCAATATCTCACAAGCGAGATATTAACACACATGGAAACGGTTTATATTGTAGCAGAAAAACTCAGTTTCATGACAAAACTAGTAAGTTATTGCAAGAGAAAAGTCAATAAATCCCCTGATGTTAAAAACAACAGGGTTGGTTTCGGTACCTGAACGCCCCGTCGTATCCGTCGTACCAATCTTTTCCTTTTTCACATTTATTCTGCCCCGAATCGTCTCCCACGCACAGATCACACAGGTTCTTGGGGAAGCCATCTTGATTGGCGCCGGGAACGCAGCTCTTCTCGAAGAATCCTCCCACCGCTGAAAACCAGAGGAGACAGATTATCAGGACCAGAATCACCAGAATCTGAGTCCAAACGTTTTGTACCGTCTGACCAAACCATCCAGGTGGAAACACTCAGACGCCACAATCCGTTTGGAAATGAAGATAAAAGCTTTTAAACTTATTTGCAGTCAAAGGTTGTTTTTAACATGTTTTTGTACAGTTTTACTTTAATTTGTCCTCTGATGAGAAATTAAACTCAGTTTTTTTTTGGAGTCTAATTTTCCCAAAGTAGAAATACTGCAACATATTTTTACTCAAGTAAAAGTAAAAAGTAACCATCCTGGAGTTACTCAAGAGTAAAAAAGTATTTAGTGAAAAATACTGAGTAAATGATCAAATTATCAATCAGTTCATATTTAAAAATTCAGATGGACCAAAATATAAAGTTAACATTTTGGTATTTTAATTCATAAAAATAGCAAAAATTATCCGATTTTATCAGAAGAGAAATTTTCCTAATTAGTTTCATTCAATAAAAAAGTGATGAAAGTTTAACAGAAAGTCTGGTCAACTAAAAGTAGAAATACTTTATAATAAAAGTACTCAAAGTACGGCATAGTAAAAATACTCTTAAAAATAATCTTTTGCAAAAGAGTTACTCGAGTAAATGTAAGTAGTTCCTACACAACTCTGTGTACTTCAGATATCAATAATCGATTAGTAAATTATTATTTCAATAATCAATTCACAATTAGTCTGATTAATAGATTCAGTCCTAGAAACTATAACACAAAATCAAATCTAAATGACAGGAGGGAATCTGAGTGGATGGATATGACGGATGCCATTGATGGACGCTCTGGCGCTGACCTTGGGGAACCTGGCAGTTTTTGGGGCTGATCAGTCCTCTCTCCATCAGAGCGGATGCAGGAATATTCCAGCCTGCGGTGCGACCGTAGCCGGTGTGGCAGGAGTCCCGGCCTCGCAGGCCGTCCAGGTTACGGATGTCGCCGCTGCTTTTCTTCACCACTGCGACTGCGTAGTACGAGGATCCGTCACGCTCACCTGGAGAGCAGAGAGTGGGGCGCGTGAGAGCCGGACTGTGGGAACGAGTTGTTTAGGTTTTGGTACCTGTGTAGCTCTCGGCGGCAGCGGGAACCAAGCCGTAGTGTTTACCCGCCGTGTAGATGTACCCTCCATCCAGCGTCATGGCGTCCGCCTCCCTGTTCTGCAAAACCATGAGGATGTGAAGCAAGCTTTAGACCAAAGCAGCAAAGCTGAACATGATCGAGTTTCACTTACTTTGATCTTGGCCATGCAGTCGGACAGAGAGGCGCCGTAGACACACGTGATCCTGGGAGTGAGACCTTTGCTCTGAAAGGCGGCGCCCATGTCAGCACATTTCTGCTGCTCTGCGCTCGACAAAACACACCATCGGATGGCAGAGGGGATGTCTGCAAAAAACACCGGCAGTTTGGTCGTTTATCACCTTCCATTACCTTCTGCTCTGTTCTACTCAGAGGAGGAAGAAAACTTCCTGTTTCCCAAGAAATCACTCAAATAAGAGTAAAAAGGTTAACAAGACGGACCAAAACATAAAGTTGTCAATCAGTCGGGTTTATTTGTGGAGCAAATAAATAAAGAGTTGTACGTCATAAAACACACAAAATTAAAAAGTAACAGAAAAAATGTCATGCAGCTGAGAAAACCATTAAATATCACCTTTTGCCAACATTACACTTTGGTCAATATTTCATTAATTATGTTTCAAAAGAAACTGAACACAGGTGAGGTTTAAATCCAGATTGAAAGGAAATCTGTGTTTCAGCTGCTTTGCAGTTTTCTAGAAGTAATTACCAAAATTCACGTGGAAATTTTAAGAACCAAAATGAAAATAATTCACATAAATAATGTAATTATAAAATCAGGCAAAGAGAAATGTATCTAAATCAGTTTCTTTCCATGGAAGTAGTGAGAGTAGGGATACTTCAAGTAAAAGTAAAAATACTCCAAAAAGAAAAATCTCGTTTCTCTAGTAACTGAGTAAATGTAAGTTTTTCTTTGCTTTTATCACTTTTGTTTCATGTAATAAATGTTATAAACTAGTTAAATGGTTTGTTGTGATTTTTCATGCTACTTGAAACGTTAGCATTAGCTTGTTCAGCTTTAAACGAGGCGTTAGCGATGCAGCTTACCTTGAGGTGTGCAGTCCATGGCTTTCATCACGTTGTAGTAGTTGGGGCTCATCCACCGGACCGGGTCGTCTGCCTCGACCGCCTCAAACCTGGTGGTTGAGTCAGAGAACAGAAGATTTTCCCCGCTGTAACCCGCTGAAGAGAACATGTCGAATTCTGACTTTTCCTTAAAAAAAGAGACAGAGTTTCTGTTAGAGGTGACCTTGAACGGGCCAAGGTCAATCTACAGTCTTAACTAATGTTTCTCTACCTGTCCATTATCCAGGTTTCTGTATTCATCATCATAAATAATTTCCCAGAGAACAAAAATTCATGGGAATAAAAAACATTTTGAAAAGCGTCTATGAAAAATGGACATTCAAGTTGAAATCGGTGGCCAATCAGCAGCCAGAGTGGAAACAATGTTCCTGTTCTGAGCCATTTTCTGATGTTTGTTGCTAAATGTTGCACAAAATGACCAGATAAAAGATGCACAACAACAGCAGGTTAAACTTTGACCTATTTGCATAAAGACTGAGCTCTGCAACATTAACACATGGATATCAATGACAGCTCTCCTTCTCCTCAGTGTTTCTGTCAGTTTCTGGTGGTGCAGCTCTGCTGCCTTCAGGAGAATGGGACATCAGAGTGTCATCCATAAAATGTCATTTGGTAACGTCTCTGAGGTTGCTAAGGACATCTGAGTTGGATTACTGGACTTTTTAAATACCTCGCCTTCCCTCAGCATGTTGAAAACCACAGAGGGAGTGATGTCACTGCCAACCACGACGCTGCGAAACGGGATGCGAACCAGATGGCACCGATTCCAGTCGGAGACAGGAGCTCTGGTCCCGTCTCTGCACAGCAGCTCATAATTCGCCGATAACAAGTGTTGGGTCCACGACGGACCCTTACCTGCAGCACACACAACAGCTCAGCCATTTCATCCATCACAAACACTCAAAAGCTTTTCTGGGCCCTTACCGTCGGTGTTCTCTGCAACAGTCGTGTGTTTTGTGAAAGCCACCTGCCCAGCGTCTTCAACCAAACATCTGGAGAAAACATCACAACAAGAAGATGCTGGGATTCTGTTTTTAAAAGTTTTATCAGCAAACATTTGCAAAATCAAATCTGTGTGCCTTTACTTCTTATTTTTCCATTTTAATTTAAATATTTAGCTTGTAGCGTATTTAGAAACTAATATTTAGTTTCATATTTGCATCACATTCTTCTAAAAAACAGAAAAAAAGAGAATTTAAATGAATCTCTTCCTGAAAGTATTTGTTGCTCTAACAGTTTATTTAACATGGCGTCTTCTATTATACCTAAAACTGACCCTCATCAGACACCGTAGTTGCTCTTAGGGATAAACTAGGGATAAACGTCCGATACCAATACAGGCATCTAGTATCAGCTGATATCGATCCGATACAGAGAAACGCTGCTGAATCAACTGAGGATGTTTCGTTTCTGAAATCGCTGACATAAATGTGCTAAATTACATTTATTTTATTACTCTGCACATCCAAACACACCAACAGTTTCACCAGCTTGGTCAAACATACAAAAACAGCTTTAATTTGTTCAGTCAGTGCAATTAGGGAGAAAAACGTCCAATGAAAAACAAAGTCCGTATGCTTGTTATTCCTCTGTGAAAACAGTTTTTATTGCACCTGGCTTTTTACAACACGCTTTGTGAATAAGGTCTGGTTAGTAACATGGATGCTTGTGCACCTGAATGCTCCTTCGTAGCTGTAGTACATTTCTTGTGGGCTCATCTCACATTTGTACTGCCCGCTTCCGTCTCCTTTGCACAGCTGACACAGAGACGGCGGTTCTCCAGCCTGGTTAGCTCCAGGAATGCAGCTGGCGTTGAAGAAATTTGCCACTCCTGACGAGAAGCACAAACAAAAGCTTCACTTGGCCTCACACTGCAAAAACACAAAACCTTACAAGGTTTTTTTTCCTCTGGATTCTGATGCAAATGTCCCGGTACGCCTTAAATAAAACAAGAAACGTTCTAGTGAAAATATGAGCTTGTTTTAAGTCAATAAATCATCTGATGAATTGATTTGGTGCTTATTGTGAAAAGCAACATTTTTCCACGTTATAAGTGAAATAATCTGCAGGTTTTACTAGTTTTTTTCATCAATACTAAGAAAATACTGATTTAAAACAAGCTCTTATGTGTTGCTGTAAAGTTAGATAGTTTTGTCTTATTTCAAACAGTAAGATATTCTCTCCATAAACTATATCAAACGTTTTGGGTTTTTGCAGTGTATGCATGCTAGTGACGTTTTTGCTATGAAAAACAATAAATAAATATGGTAAAAGAGCAAAAAAACAAGAATCTGTGGTACTTTTTGTGCTGTAGCACTGCAACTGCAATACTAACACCTTTTTTTTATTGAAGTCGATCAGAGAAATACAATGTTCCTCTCAACTGAGTGAGTTTTACCGGTGGAAACGTCGCAGCCCATGACAGACATGAAGCCCTGGTCGATGAGGAATCCCAGCGGCATGGTCCAGCCGGCGGTTCGCCATTTCCCGGTGTGGCAGCTGCGTTTCCCCGCCAGGTTGTTGATGTTGATGGCGGAGTTGTCCTTCTTCACCACGGCGACGGCGTAGTAGGAGCTGGTATCTGGAGAAACAGCAGCAGAACAACTGGAGCGGCGAATCCTGCTGGACATTTTGAACATAAACTCACTATTTTGTTAAAACTCGTTTTCCGAGGATCGTGATCAACGACCGGATGTTGCTACTGGCAGAACCACCAAAGAAGACAACGAGAAGTTTTTTAATGACTCATCACTGAGCAAACTAATTTACATGAGTTTAATTGTGCTTTTTTATTCAATGGACGCGCCACAACGGCAAAATAGGTATTTTTTCCATTAAGTTTTGGAAACATGTCTAGACCTCTTCATGAACCCGTACAGTAACATTTAACTTTGATCAATAGATCTGCAGCCTTATCATCAGAGCACTGACAGTTCCTTAAGGGTCAAAGTTCAGAAAGGCTTCAAAATGTACCAAGTGCAACACAGAGATTATCATCCAGATATTACAGGTGATGTAACTACCAATGTCCAGCTCAGCCCGATAAAACTCCAGATATTAATCTATCTCAACATATATAATGTGTTGCCTTTTCCTGGCAAAGAGGCACATTGAGGTAAGTTTCTCATTGTAAAGCAATCGGTCATTATATGAGCAGGACAGGAAGAGGAATACTGAAAAACAAGCTTTGCATCTCATCACATGACCTGTAGTGATGTGATGAAGAGTCTTACCACCATTCTTTGATTCACTGGCAGCCATCTTGAAGGTGGCAGTCTTCATCGCATTGTAGATGTTAGTGCCAGACATGGACAAGGCGTCCACTTCTTTTTCCTGCAGGAGACATAAACGCATATATAGGAATGTTCTGAGTCTAAGAGCAAAAAGAAGAGATGAATGAAGAATTAGGCAATTAATAAATAGTACAATAAGTGACAGTAGTTGTTGTTTCTGGTGCTTATTAATTAAGCTTTAGACAATCTGAAAAGTCACAACCCTCAGAAAAAGAACAACAGTTTATTCCAACTTTTCTTGAACCTGATATTAATCCTGATTTATTAATCTAACAGATTATTTCATTGCAAAATAATCATGTAATTTTGTCTGAGTTCCTACATGTTGCTGAAAACCAACCTGGAAGTTATTTTTGCCTTCTTTCAAGTGAACCGAGGAATTTACACTGGAAACCAGGATTATTTGGGTTTTCCAGAGTTTTGTGTCATAAATAGTAAATCATTGTTTTCGTATCGGCCAAAGTCCCACCTGTAGTTTCTGGATGCAGTCCTGGACGTATGGGCCGCTGATGCAGCTGATGGAGGGCCGGATGGAGACTTTGGAGAAAGCCTGGCTCATATCCTGGCATTTCTTCTGCTCCGGTTCTGAGACGGTGCACCACCTGATGGTCCGCTGGCAAAACACTGATCAGGATATCAGTCATTACTGTGAAACTGAGCAGGTTTGGAAAGAACCTGGAAACGTAGCGCTTGTGTTTGGATACTTTTCAAAGCTGAATTTGTATTTATTAACTCTGAATATGGAAAAAAATGCATTTCTGTAGATGAATAACCTGTATATGTTACACTGCAAAAACACAAAATCTCAGAGCATTTTGTCTAGTTTCTAGTGAAAATATCTTAGTATACTTTAAATAAGACAAATTTAACTTAGAATTAACTTTTTAACAATATGTAGGGATTATTGTTTTCAATAACTCCTTCGTGCTGATGAGCTTGTTCCACTGGAAAATGTTCATTTCACTTCTAGCAGGAAATATTTGTTTGTTAGGAAACAAAATAGTTAACACATTTTTATTAATATTAAGGAATTATTTACTTAAAACAAACTTCTCCTAAATCTTGCTGAAAAGTTACTTGAGATTAGTCTTTGTCTTCAAGTGATCTATTTGCATTAAACCAGACCAGATACTTGGTAATATTTGGTGTTTTTGCAGTGTAACATGTTTAGTTCCTGTTTTAAAAGTCTTACCTGCAGGCAGCAGCAGCAGCAGCAGAGCTCCCACTGTCTTCCACGTCGTCATGATTTCTGCTTTGCTTCCTCTGGGTCTCACTGAACCGCCTTTCTGCGCTTCTCCACTTTATATGTTCGCTCCAATATCAAAGTCCGATTTACAATCACAGGCTGTAAATCAACGCTGTGATTTACAGCCTGGTCTCCAGCAACTGATCCAGCAGCTCCAGGGTGTAAGAAGCTGCCTGGCTGCAGGCCAGCAGCCGGACAGAGAGGCTCTGTTGCAGCCCGGTTCTGTTGCAGCCCGGCCCGCTTCCCCCTACCTGCCTGCCTCTTCTGCCTCTGTGGTGTTTTTCCATTAAGGATGTGGCGAAGCAAAGCAGGGATGTAATCCAGCACAGCGATGAGACAGAGTCTGGGAATCTGTTTTCTGTACATTGTCTATATAAATATAGGAGGTGGTAAAATAAACTAATCTTTCATGGAGCAAAATAAGAGTATCAGGGCTGCTGGGGGGAAAAAGGAAAATATGATGCTTGATCTCAGAAGATTAAAATCAGAAATCTGAGATTACAGTCAGAAATCTGAGATTAAAGTCAGAAATCTGACTGCTTTCTTAACCGTCTTCTGTAAAATGTTTTAAAAAAGTCAGAACTTTAATTTGAGAAGTGAAAAACATCAGACAGTTAATTATTGTTTGGAGTCATTTGCTGAGGCAGCAGGTTTGGGTTCGTCCTGCAGGATTTAGATCATCAGACTCAAGAGTTCAGGATTTGGCTGCATGGTTTTAGATTTTTATCTAAAATAAAATTCCCTGGTATTTTAAAAAACAACATAAAGAATCCGTTACACTGAATGTTTCTCGATTATAGACAAGGCTAAGAGAAATAGCTCTTTGCTTCATAAAAATAACCTTATTATTCTTAGGAGGAAACAGGACAATTTAGAATAATGACATTAAGAAATCATTAGAAATTACACAAACACTTAGATCACGTTGTGTTTAAAGGGATAAAAACAGTTTGTCCAGACTTTCACATTTTTCCTTTTTTATTAAGTCATAGCTGCAACTATGACTTAATAAAATAAATATTTTAGCTCTAGAAATCTTCAGAATAGCATTAAGTTATATTAAAAAAAAAACACAAATTTAAAGGTTTAATCCCCTCAGTTTACTGCAGCAGTTCAGGTCATGTGACACGGCAGCTGGTTGGGGTGCAAATAAAAAATAATAATAAAAATCTCCTAACTGTTTTCACATGAGCATCCCTCGTTCTCCTCCCGTAATAAAGGAGCTAAATTATCCCTGCTGTGCTGTTCGCTCAGCAGCAAGAGGCAATATAACAATAAAGAAGCTGTTTTTCTTTTGCATTCTTAATAAAACATCACATTAGTTTCACCTCCGTTTTTCTGACATTAGTTTACAGCAGGACATTTCACCCTCATTACCGGATTGTTGGACGCAGGAACTCAGTGACCTGATGGCGTGACAATACGACCTTTGGACCTGCTGTAAAGTCAAAGGCCGAGAGTCTCGCTGTGGTTCTGACTGGCGTGGAAACTTTAAGCTGACAACTTGAACATCTTTGTAAACGGGACGCATGACGCAAAATTCACATTTTGCTTGTTTTTGTTGTTTCGTTTTGGTTTCTGCTGCTCCTAAACATGAACCATTGCTTAAAATAAAAACACCCACATGTTTTTTGGCAATAAGTTCATGTTTCTGGTAAATTTCAAAAATCTTCTGGATGCAACGTCACAAATGAACGGCACATATTCCACAAGTTCCAGCACATTTGATCAGCCGTACAATGGCTGCTGGAAAAGACAAGTGTTTTATTAACTTACCATCCAGAAACCACTGGTTGCGTTCTAGTTAGTTGTGCAGGAGGCTCCACTTCTGCTTCTCAAACATGAACAGTTGAATAATTCCCCATCTATTTGCAGCCACTTTTACATGAACAATGTAAATTTGACTTAAAGTGACAAGAAGTCCCAAAACAAATCACTCTAAAAGGAACTTAAAATACTCAAAATCTATTTATCTAAGAATTTTATAAAAATAAGATTAACATGTTCTGTGTATCCTGACCTGTTCAAGGAAGCATCTTTGAAATAATGTTCTCTACTATACATGTGACCTGTACGGTCTAAATTCCCCATTTAAGACAATAAAATACCATTTGTAACTAGTTTAGTATAAAAATTGTCTTTTGCTTTCCAGCTACACAGAAAAGTAACGACTTCAGCAGTCATAGAAATGCTACATAGCAGATATGACTAAAACTATTTTTTTACTTTGTGATGCAAGTCCTTAAAATTGGGCCTCTGTCTCTTTAAGAAACTTGCTGTTTCTGAAAGTCAGAAACTTCAGTTAGTCCTCATAACGTCGCTCCTTTATTAACCCTTTAGCAACATTTTTAGCAGCGTTTCACTGAGAATCAATGTTTTTCATACTCTTGATGAATCGACGTCATAGAGAATAAAAAATATCATAAAGTGGCCGATAAGTGAAGCTTAAACGCATTTTAAAAGCGACCTGCAAGTTTTACTGACTGGAAAATGTGTTCAATCAGGGGTGAGCAAAATCGTCAAATCAAAAATAATCGGACGCCTAAAGATCCAACCTAAAATAAAGCCAGTAATGCAGCTAAATTTACTTTCTTTTTATCAAAAAAGTTGTAAATTTCCACCAAAAACTCACTAATTGAAATTAATTTATAAAAAATAAAATTCAGGCTTTTGAAAATTGTCGACATTTGAAAAGGTTTCTTGTAGAAAATTTCTGAGACTAGTGGACATTTGCTACTTTGTTAGTTTTTATAAATCTACATCAGCTGTCAGGAACAGGATTCGAGTCACTTTGTTTAAAAACATTTCTTATATTTAGTCAAGGCTAGTAAATTAAATAAAAGCAGATATTTGATTTATCATTTCTGTAAAACTCTGCAGGTAAAACATTGTTTTACCTTTTCTTAAGGCTTCATTATAGAAGACAAACGCTTTACATTGTTTCCATTTGCATCTGTCGATTAAACTTGTGAACAATTTTTTAGCTGCATTTTTAAAAAATTGTTCACAAATGGCCGCCGAGAAACTCTGGATGAAAAAAACTGCAAATTTTCAACTGAACTACCACCAAAAAGTTAATTATCATTCAAAATCTCACTGCAAATGCACAGTAATGTGAAATGAAAGGAAAATATCAACATTTTTATGCATTTGATAGAGAAAAAGGAAGGAAGAGTCATCTCTTGTCACATTTAAAGGGACTGCAGTAAAGCTCAATAAAGCCTTTTGTTTATTTTTGTACCAAAATAGGCAGTTAGAGCAGGGATAAATATTATATTATGTTAGATATAGATACATCTCTTTAATAGATTCTTTGCATCGGTGCTTTACTCTAACAAACAGTGGCATAGTCCCCCGGCTGAAACACGCAGGCAGAGCCGTACGGAGCTTCCTGTTCTCTCAGCCGACGGTTACAAATAATCTACTGGGATTAACAAGGGAGGAAACATAAATCCAGAAGAACAGAGGAAACATTAAAGCTCTCAAAATGTGGTGAAAGTTGGTGGTTTCTCTGCACGCCTCTGTCCTCCAGTCAGCCTGGAGGGATTAACGTGGATTAAGGGGAGACGGTGGCTGACGAGGTCCATACAAGCAGAGGGCTGGGTCTTCAAAAGCATCCTGAATTTCAGCAGCTGATCGTCACATTTCGGGTTATTTTCACGCGTCCCGTCACGATGCAGCTGCTTTTGATGGAGGCGAGAAGCAAAGCAAGTCGTGCTGAGGTCACTCACCCAGTGAAATACAAAATAAAAGTACAACGTCACCAAAAAATAAAATACAAACTCAATAAAAAACATACATACAGTGGATTTATGACAACAGACCAAGAAAAAATAAAACTTAGAAGAAAAAAGTTGTAGTAATATGAGAATAAAGTCATAATATCAAGACTCATTCTCATCTTATTCTGACTTTAATACCATTTTATAGTTATTAATATCACTAATTTTATTCTTCTCATAAAATTACGAGAATAAAGTCGTACAAGAGTAAACTTAAAATATAATAATAAAGTGATAATGACTTTACTTTTGTAACATTACTACTTTATTATATTATTTTAATTTTATTCTTGTATTATCTTTACTTTACTAGAACGACTTTATTACTTTATTTACATTATAAAACTAGAATGAAGTTGCAATATTACCAAAATACAGTTGTACAAGAATAAAATTAAAATAATGTGAGAATGTTTTTAATGACTTTATTCTCAGTTAAACTTAGTTTGATTTTACTAATGCAACTTAATATAATTTACTTTCCTCATAAAATTACAATAATATTATAACTGTCTCATAATACTACAACTTTATTTTCATGTTATTTCAACTTTACTTTTTTAATTTGATTTTTTAAAATGTTCTTAGCATGAGCCCAAAACTCTGTCAAACTTTTTTTCATGACAAACTTTCATATTTATGGAACATCTGATATCTTTGCTAAAAATGATGAAAAAAAACAAAACAACCTTCACCAAAATCTTCATAAGTTTGAACACAAAGACGCACAAGATGCTTTAGGAAATCAGCCCTCATTAGTGCAACTACATTTACAGGGAAGGAGTCCTGATGATGATGATGATGATAGAGACGAAGGAGGCGTTATGCTGATAAAGGTCAAAGTGCACGGAGAGCGCAGGAGATGGAAGTCTGAGGTAAAGCCAGAAAAAGGAGAAATCTTGGGACAAAATTGTTTTCCTGCTTTTTAAAAATAATGAAGTAAAGAAATCTCTTCTGATATCTGATTTTCAAATGTTTCCTCTGAAGCTGATAAAAAGTCAGATTAATCCGGTTTTATATGTGTTATTCAAGTTTCCTTCCAGCTCTGCATATTTACTGACCAAGCATGAAAACAAAGTAACGTAATTAGTTTTCATTTTTATTCTTTAGCCTAGGGGTGTCCAAACTTTTTGTCAAGCCAAAAATACTTGTGGGACAAGAAAAAATAAACCAAATAAAGTTCTCCACGTTATTATTTATTTATTTTATTGAAGGAAATTCATGTTAATTTTTGATTATCAAAACACTAAAAATAATTATCTGGATTAAATCAATTCGTTTTTAAATTCTTGAACAAATTAGATCTCAGTGATAAGAAAAGGATTTATTTCCAAAACTAAGTTTAAGTTTAATACATTGAATAAAACTCAAATTTTGTGCCCCATAGTTAGTCTGTTATCATTTATAACGTTATCACACAAGCTTCATTGTAAAAACATGGATACTTTGTGTAGTACAAATTATATAAATCATTTTTAATGTCGATTAAAATAAAGTATAAACTATTTTTGTTTCATTCTGTCACAAAAAAATCAGTTAGTGGGCCACAAATGGCCCCCGCGGCACACTTTGGACACCCCTCATTTAGAAGAACAAATTTCCCGTCCCAATATTCCAATGTCGAGTAAAACCTCCCAAACACGGCGAATCTTTGCTTTGAACTGCCTCTTCCGGTCTCTTTAGAGAACTTCGGACCCGTCCGAATTTTTAAAAACCGAATTTAAAACTCGTCTTGGTACCTTTAATATAACAGACAACAAAGTAGGAGCAACAAAAACACAAATCATGACTGTTTTTGAAACAAACATCATGTTTTTGCTCATGAAGCCTCTGCTGGAAATATTCACAATGATGTGAAAATTATGGTCAAGTTTCTAGTTTTAATTAGTTTCCACTTTAATCATTTAGCAAAAAATATTAACCCAAAGCTTCAAATATATCTTACAAAACTTTGATATAATTCTCTATATTGCATGAAGGAAATATAATTGTTAAATTTAAAATTAAAGTTGTCAGGTTATGAATATTTTTCATAAACACTTTGGTTTCTGCAAACAGAAAATCTTTAAGTATTTCTGTCTAGTTTCTTAGTACACTTGAAATAAGACAAAACTAAGTTAGAAATAGAAATATCTAAATTTCAGTAAAATATAGGATCTTGTTTTATGTAATTAATTTCTTAATGTTGATGAAAAACTACAAGTTCCAGCGGCAGATTATTTCATGTATGATACATTTTTCCTGTTATCCTCATAACTTTGGAAAAATGTCTTTTTATGAATGAAAGAATTGTCCAGCGGAACCAGAACCTTTTCATCAATATGAAGGAATTATTTACAAGCTGCTGTGTTTTGCTCTAAAGCCACTTCTAAGTTAATTTTGTCTTATTTCAAGTGTACAAAGATATTTACACTGTAAACTAGACCAAATATACCTGCTAGAATTAAGTTGTTTTGTTGCAGTCTAATGCTGAAATGCGTGATGAGGGAACGTAGAATTACAATAAATATCTTCACTTCCTATATGAGGATTTTAGAGTGTAGGAAGAGAAAATGAGGATACGAAGGGATGAGAAATATAAAAAAAAAAAGACAGAAAGAAACTCTAAAAATACCCAATGCCATGTGGAATGACATACAGAAAGACAGACAGGGAGTTAGATCAAATTTTTTGTCCCAAAAACATGCTCTTAAAGCTACAGCGTGCAAAAGTCTGCCTCTTGGTGACAATATTCTCATGTATCATTACAAACCGATACACGAATGCATTACTCTTTGTTAATATGAAAACAACAACGACAACAACAATAAGAAGACCAGTAGTGAAACAAATCAGATCATGGTACAAGTTGCCTTGATTTGAACCAACTCCTTAAACATTAAGGAACCAAGCTGAAGGAAGATCCACCCGGAGGCCGCCGGACCGACCCGAGGTCCTCCCGCCGCAGGAAGGAGCCGTCCCAGACGGACCCGGCCGCGCCGCCATCGTGTGCTTGTGTGAATACACGTGTGTGCAGCAATGCGAAACAGAGGAAGCAGGCTGATAGTACAAAAAAATAAAATCAAGTGGGAAGCGTAGAGACAGTAATGTGTGTGTGTGCATGGATGCATGTGTGTGTTTGTTCAGAGTCGCTCCTTGGTGGTCACCCAGATGTAAGGACCCGACTGCTCCTCGATGATTTGCTTCACCTGCGAGTAAATTTCCTCTAGAGAAGAACCGTGGACTATTGCTGCAAGACAGACAAACACACAGAGATCAGTGGGTTACAAAGGAAATACACGCTGTTTCTGAGCAGGAGGAGGCAGAAAATAAATAAATAAATTCTTAGATAATGAAATTTTAGTCAGTTCTGCCTATTTTGTTTCATGGCGTCTAAATCCACGGCCCACAAAAGTTGCAGTTTTATTGCAATTAAAACTGCAACTTTTAATTGCAATAGCTTGCAATAGCTTGCAATTAAAAGTGCAATTATACGACCATACATCTTTGAAAAGCAGAAGTGGAGCCTACTGCACAACCCACAAAAGTGCAACAAGTAGTTTCTGAACAGTAAGTCAAGAATGAAACTTGTCTTTTCCAGCAGCCATTATACAGAAAAATAAAGGAGTAAATTCAAGGAAAAGATGAGAAAAATTACAAGTCTGAAATAAAAAGCCACATTCATGTCATTGTATTTTTTTTGTGTGTGTGTGTAAGTTGACTAACCGGTGAAGTACTCTGCAAACTCCTGCTCCAGCTTGATGCCTCTGTCGAAGGCCTTCCTCGCCTGTTCCTCTGTCAAACGCTTGTTCATCTCTCTGGAGAGAGCAAACACGCAGGTTCAAATCCGGATTTTACTTTAGTTAAGAGTCGGTGTCTAACTAAACTAAACTTGAGGTTGTAACCAATAGGGAATGAGCTGTGGTGCAGTAAACCTACAATAAAGGATTTTATTTCTATAATTTCTGTATGTTTTAGTTTTATAAATGTAATCCAGGACATATTTCCAATTAGTTAATAATTGATATTTTATTTTTCAAAAATGTTTTCTTAATTTCAGTTGTTGTCATATCATTAGTTTTAGTTTACTACAATAACAACTGACTCTGGTTACTTAGCAACAGCCTTCTGAGTAACTTTTGGTTACCTAGCAACGACCTATGAAGTAACCTGCGCAGCAGCAGTTTAAGGTTTTGCTACTGTGTCTGATAATTGCTTGGGGAGAAAACTGGATGAAAGGTCATGTCACCAGTTATTTCTGACATTTAAAACAGAAAACCTACCAACTGCTACGAAACGCTTACACTGCGATACATTTTTCATCGTCCAGTCCTAATGAAAACGAAGCGCTTCCTCTGTAAAGCCTTTCAGTTCGAAAGCCTCGTTATGTAGTGCAGCTGCTACTCACAGGATGTTGTCGACATTTCGCGGTCTAAGGAGGATAGCGATGGGGTGGAGGCCCGCCATCTGGAGACGCTTTATGGCATTCCCAGAAACATCCAGGATGCAGTGTTTCCCCTGCAGGAGACCAAGACTCCGACAATCAGCCGCCTTCAACGCGCTCCTCCTCCCGCGGCGCTCTGAGCGGGCCTCACCTTGTCGGCGACCTCTCTGACAGACTGTATGCTGGTCCCGTAGAGGTGGTTGTTGTACTGTCCCGCCTCGATGAACTTGTGTTCCTGAATCTCTCGCTCCATCAGCTCTCTGGAGGACATGAAGTGATAATCTCTGCCGTCCACCTCGTAGTCTCTTCGTGGCCGTGTTGTGTCTAACAAGGACAGGATTCAGACAGATTCAGGTGTGGCAAAAAAAGAAATACGCTGCACAAGCACAAAAATCTAAATTATGTTTTGTCAGGTTTCTAGTGTGAATATCTTTGAGCATTTGAAATAGGAAAAAAGATACAAGAGTTTGTTTTAAATCAATAATTACTTAATACCGATTTAGAAAACTCGTTCCACTGGCAGATTTTCACAAAACATATTTTCCATGTTAAAAGTGAGAAACATTCTGACAGATGAACTAAAACTAAGAAGGAATTACTGACTGAAAAGAAATCAAGAAACTCACGTGGGACGCAGGATCCAAACTTTTCAGGAAACTCAGAGATGAGGTCATCATTGACCCGATCTTTCATTGGTCCAAGCACGATGACTGGCCGTGTGTAATTAACTGGGAAAAACAATGAAAAGAATAAAGTTTATTTCCATGAAAAGGCATTTGTTTGATTGCAAAAAGCAAAAACAGGCTGAATCTGACAAAATCTTTCTCATTTCACAAAATAAATTCACTGCTGATGTCTGATGAACCACAAAACTTAAAAATTGTTTATATGCTATTAAATAAAAGAAATCCAGTTTGAAGATTCTTTTGGGCTCAGAATAAAAAAGAATTCAACCTATTCTCATTTCTTTTAATTTGTTTCCTATTTTAAATCCTGTTTAATAAATTAGTTAAAATCCAATTGACTTCTCTCAAATCGGTTGTTTTGTGTACAAGTCTGTTGATAAATGTGCTCTTATTCACTATGAAATAAAAAGAAAAATCTAAATATTTTTTGTTGTGCAATAAGCTAAAATAAATTATTAAAGACAAAAATAGTAATATAGTGGAAAAATGTAAAATTAAATGATTCTCTGTCCGAGTTCCCGACCAGAAGCTGATTCTGTTTGGGGGGAAAAGTATCTCAGATGCTGTCCGGTGATTTAATGATTCATATTTCATAGAAATAACTCAAAAAAGCTTAACAAAAAATAAAATAAGAGTCATTTACGTACCTTCCTGCTGCACAACAGGTTGGTATGTAAGGAGGATCTCCTCCTGGCCAGCTGTTCAACAGAAACAAATATTTTTAAAGGCTTATTGATCACATTTTTGACACCACATCAAACTCCTACATTTGGAAAGAAAACTTCTCCAGCAGGTCTGGAAAAGTAGAGAGAAATGTGAGTTGCCCACAAGACCCACATGCACATAATTAACACACAGAGGGAAACACACACGCACAGACAGACGGAATGGAAAACACAAGAGGACGGAGAGCGAGGCGCAGCGGAGAAAAGGTAGAGGAGAAATGGAGGACAGAGGAGGGTCTACACTTACAGGAACTACTCTCACTATCACTGGTGCCAGAGGTTACCAGCGCTGGAAGGACAAGACAGGTCAGAGTCAACACACACACGCACGCACGCACGCACGCGCACACACCACACACACACACACACACACACACACACACACACAGGGGCACAACCACAACTTACACAAATAAAATGTCTTATATTTAGTCATCAGTTTTCTGGAGGAACAACCATTTTAAAGCCAAAGTTTAGAAGGTGTTTGGTAACTCAACTCATTTTTCTCTTTTCTAAGTAGTAACACTGCAAAAACACAAAACCTCACTCTGTATTTTTGGTGACTAGTGAAAATATCTTGGTGCATTTGAAATAAGACAAAACAAACACAAGTAACTTAGGAACCTGTTTTAAGTAAATAAGCTCTTAATATTGATGAAAACGTTGTTGTTCCACTGGCAGATTCTTTCACTTGTAACAAAACATTTCCCTCATGTTATAAATTCAACAGAATTAATCCACCAATGCAACTAATAGTTTTTTTTATCAATATTAAAGAAATATTGACTTAAAACAAGAGACTATATCTTACAGTAACGTTACTTATAAGTTAATTTTGTGTTTTCTGCTAAGATATTTGCACAAGAAACCCAGTTCTAGTGGAAGATTATTTATCTTATAATAAAACATTTATTCCATGTTATAAGTGCATTTTATTTGCTCAATATTAAAGGGTTATTGACTCAAAACTTGCTCCTTCTTACAGTAAAGTTACTTATAAGTTAATTTTATCTTATTTCAAATGTACTAAGATATTTGCAGTAGGCACTACACCAAAATTACTGAGTAAGACTTTGTGTTTTTGCAGTGAATTATTTTTATACTTCTTATTCCTGAAGAACAGTCTGAATTATCAAGAATAAAATTCTGACTGATGCAGCTCTGACTAACCAAAGCTGATGTTAGCACAATAGTCTGCACAGGACTGTGCTACAATGCGAAACTTGCATTTAAAGCAGAGACAGCCTCTGCGTTGTGCTGATGTAATAAAAAATGATTTATTTGACTTCTGTGCAGCTTTCCTTTTTCGTATCAGCAGATTTTTATTTTTACGAAGATCTGCAGAACATAAAAAATGGAAGTAAAACATCTGTGTTGCAAGGCACAGAAATAAAACTTGAACTGTTTCTTGATTTAACAAGGAATCATTGTGAAAAACAAAACAAGTGTAAAATTTAACTAAATTTCAGTTAATTGAAAACAAATAAAGCAGAAGATTCCTCAGGAATAATAAACAAATTAGGTCTGGTTGGATGAAAATAAAGCAAACTATAAATTTTATCACTAATATACCATTTAATTTAGAAAACTGCACCACAAAGTGACAAATTAGAACTATTTTGGGGGAATAATATTGGCTATCCTCCATCAAAACATACAAAACTATCGTATCAGGACAAGCAGTTACACATAGTGACCAGCAGGTGTCAGCGATAGTTACGTAGCTCACCTTTATCCTCTTGATCCTGGAGGAGATGGAAAGAGAAGAGATCATTAATCACCACACAGGACAATGAAACTGCGTGTGTGTGTGTGTGTGTGTGTTGTCAGCAGAAACACGATTTGAAAGTCCGCTGTGCAAATAACCGAGAGAGGAAGTGTGTGTGAGGGTGTGATGATTTTTAATAATCATTTCTTCATCACGTGGCGCACCAGTTCGTACAGCGTGAAGAAAACAGAAGGGTGAGATCGAGCCGACAGCGCGGTGCTATCAATAGGCTGTGCTAAACTCGTGTCAAGAGCTCATCTTCACACTCAAGCTGCAGCGTCAGATCTGATCAACTTCTAACATTTAAAGGCGACTTATTATGTTTCCTTCAACATGTAAGGCCAGGATTTCTGCACAATATCATTCTAAGTTAATAAGATTTTAATCTTATTGTCACTTTAACATCCCTCCAACTCAACTTTTACAATCGCACGTGAAAATGGCTGCAAACAGATGAGTAACTATACAACTGTACATGTTTGAAAAGCAGAAGTGGAGCCTCCTGCATAACCAACTAGAATGCAATAAGTCGTTTTTGGATGATAAGACAACATAACAGTTATCCTTTCCAGCAGCCATTGTACAGCTCATACAGTAGTACAACCAGCTGATTAAATGTCCTGGAGCTCTGCTTGGGTTGCTCCAGGACAGTGAACGGGCTGGGATTCACTGGGATTCACATGGTAACGGGGTACCATGACTGTAAGCCGGAGGCTTTTGAAATGGGTTATTTTTCAAACACCAAAAAACATCAACTTACTGCCAAAAACCGAGCGCCATAGCTGTTTTTAGAAGTAGAAGGAATCCAAATGGACATACAAAAGGGTCCAAAATGTGAATTTTGCATAAAAATAAGTACCTCCATAACAAAGTACAAAGTGAAAAAGTAAAACGAAAACATTTCCAGGAAGAAGTCTGCTTCTTTCTGGAAATGTGTTTTTGAAGCATATTTAAAAAGAAAATTGACCATAGAACATCAGAAACAACTGGCATGTTGGTCATTTCAAAAATAATGGAAGATAGTCCACAGAGTTTAGCTTCATTTCAATCTCCTCTCATGAACAGGAAAATCTATTTTGGGGCGGTCGGCAAAGTTACTGTGAAATGTAGCGCAAAATATGGCTTAAACGATTTTAAATCACATTCAAGCTGTAGGACCAAAAATGACTAGTAATGAACATCAAATACGTTTTATTCCCCGTAAGCAGACTATTGAAAAGTAAAACTAAAATTCAAATGTTGCTTAGATACGAGTTTTGTTCAGTCTGACTGATCTGATCTCTGCTGCACTTTTACAAACATTTAAGGTTTTACATACAGAAGCTTTAATGAGTAACTGCTCTAAATAAAATTTCTCATAAACACTGATTTATTGAAATGGTTCCCAATACAAGTTATGAACTATTTAAATTATAACTTGTTGAGTTGCTTTATTTTGAAGCTGTTTTTTGTTTTGGAATACTGGGTAACTGAGAACAAATAAGTAGACAGAAATTAGTAAGTTTTACTTAAACGTAACACTTAAAGCACGAGAGTTTATTTAGAAAAATATTCACTTTTTATATGAAAAGAAAGTCTTTTCTTACATTTTATCAACACTTTGGTTTCGGGTTTTTGCTGGAAGTTGGAACCATTTCAGGCAAAATGACAACTTTTACAAAGTTGGAATCAAACTACTGATTAAATTGCTCACAAAATGTGCAGCGACAGTCGGGTTAAATTGGCCAAACTTTTAGCATCAGCTTGAGATGCACAAACTCACCGATCTGTCCTGAGACCTCGACACTCTGACCATCTTTAGCCTCGACCTTTCTTTCTTCTCTGCTCTGTGAGGGAAACAAAATGAGCAAAAACAGAAATCAGCACTAAAAGAGAAGAAATTAATGCTTTCTTTAAGAAGCTAAAAGAAGTAAAACAAATCTCATCAAACAAGCGCATTAGGGGCATTGTAAAAAAAGGAGGAGTACATTTTCAACAAAAAACTCACTTTTTTTTTACTGGAACATTTCTGAGTCTGAAAAGTCAAAAATTGCTAGAAAAACTTTTTTTTTTAAATTAGTATTTCTAGAAAAAACATGGACATACCTGAGTTTTAAGAGTACCATATTTCAACATTTTCGATCAATCTTGGAAATTTTCTATACCATACAAGGAAATTTTTTAATTTGAAAAGCCAGAAATTTACTAGATAAAATAGAAAATTTTTTAGATTAAAAAGTTGAAAATTTGCTAGAAAAATCTTGGAAGTTTCTGAACTTGAAAAGTCTAAAATTTACCACAAACAAATTTTCTTGAAAAATGAGTATATTTTTGAGTTTAGCCAGTTGAAACTTTTCACATAAATAACTCACATTTTCAAATTAACCACCAAAATGTTCTATAAAAAGCAGAAACATTTTCTGAGCTTTAAAAGTCTGTTGTTAAATTTTTTAATTACAATGAATAACATCCTTTTCCAAAATAAAAATAAAAAAACATGCAATTGCTGCAGGATTTTTTCAGTCAAGAAATTTGGCCAACATGACAAACACCTTTATATTTTTTTCTAATAAGTTTAAATAAAGTTAAATGAAGTTAAATGCGTCATTGTTGACACTGTTAGCGAAGCGGCTAGTCAGTTAGTAACCTCAGCCACTCCGTCAAACATCAGGGTGACAATCCCTCCTCTGCTGCCCGTTTCCTCTCATCCTCGCCTCACTGGCCTCCGACACGTCCTCCCTTCTCTTCCTCTCAGCCCATAACACTTCACATTCCTCCCTCCTTGTCACCTGCCTCTGTGCCACACTTGGAAACATGGCTCTTGCAAACAGACTCCTCACACCTCAGAAACCTGTCAGCATCTGTGAGTCGCCTGAGGAAATGGCGTCACCAAGACAAGGAGGATTTTTTTAGCTTTCTTCTCAGATGAATTTATCTGATGATAACGACACTGAATAAATTGACAAATTACATTTTACATAAAAGTAAATCAAGTCTAAAGAAACTGAGGGAAAGGTTGAGTGAGCTCGGTTCAAAGATAAAGTATTTATTGTTGGAAAGCATGTGTTTGCATCATCGGAATAAAATAATAAAATACATAACAAAAGGGAATTGACAACCATTCATTGTGCATTAGAAAAAATTCTCCAAACTTCTGTAAAATTTGCAGCTTCATAAATTTTCTATCTGCTACAAAATCAACAAAATAAAAGTGAAAATTTTAAGTTGCAGGTAAAATTCTTCCAGGTGTTGAAGAATTACATCTACATCTAATTTAATATTTTAATAAACCCTGAATTCATGCAACTCTGTACTGTTGAAACCTAAAAGTCCAGTCCAGATGTTTTCCTAAACGGTTATGAGCAAAGAAGAGTTTCTAATAGATGTGTTATTTCTTAAAGATAAAGTCAGAAAACATTTCAGACGTAGATTCTTTACACAGAAGTACATGCCAGAACACATTTGCCTTTTCTTTTTATGTAACTGTCGCCCTTGTCAGATCAGATTTGCTGGGTGTCATTTACACGTTCTGACCCACATCTACCAAAAATCAACTTCAAGACACTTTAGGATTTTGAAAAAATATTCTGCAAGAAAAGTGAATCATTTTTAACGTGTGCCCAAAAGGGCGGATCTATTCAGGCAAGTTCTATGCTTTATTGTTTATTTTGAAGGAAAGTTTAAGTCGATTTTTTACATGTTTGACAAAGATAGTCACCCTATTTTTATTCAATTTCAGTTTCTTTATTTTTCTCCTACTAGCACTGACTTAAATTAAAATCAGTTTGTTTCAATCATTTAACATTTGAAAATTACCCATCAGATGGACCAAATATAAAGTTAAGTGAAAATTTTGGTATTTTAAGGATGAAAATGACAATAAATCACATAAATAAAAAAAAGAAAAACAAAATCAGGCAAATTATTTTTTTTTCCAAATCAGTTTCTTTGAATAGAAAAACTTATAAAATCTTAACAAAAACTGCAGGTGTGTGTCTGTATTTGGTGAATTTTGGGTTAAAACATGTTTGATTTTCATTTAGCGGGTAGAAAATCCAGAAAGTTTACTCAACTGAGAATAGAAATACTTTACAATAAAATGACTGAAGTAAATATAAAAAGTACAGATTAGTAAAAATACTACTGAAAGTTTTTTTTTAAAGCTACTCAATGTAATTGAGTAAATGCAGTGCTTCTCAAATAGTGGGGCGGGCCCCCTTTGGGGGGCGCGGTGCGATAGCTGGGGGGGCGCGTGTGATCCTGGGGAACAGGCTTTTTTTTTTTTTTTTGGCCGAACTAGTATAAAGTGTAATTGCGCACAGTAGGTGGCAGTGGCGCTCTCATTGTTACTTCTGTCACGTTTGCGACAGTGCAACATTTTACGACTTACAAGACAACAGGTTTGCCTTGGTTAGCAGTGTTAAGTCAACAAAAAGCTCCGACTGCGTTCTGTCTATGGCCTCCGTTATTCAACAACCCCCAACATGAAAAAGTTTTTCACAGGGATGAAAAGAAAAGCGGAGAGAGACAAAGATAATGAGACAACAGAAAGTCAACCGAAAGCTAAGAAGAAATACGACGAAGCGTATTTAGCGCTTGGCTTCACTGTGACTACAGTTGGAGAAGAGGAAAGACCGGTGTGTTTGCTGTGTCTAAAAATGCTCGCAGCGGACAGCATGAAGCCAAATAAATTAGCGCGTCACTTAAACACGTTACATCCCAATCACGCGAATAAGCCGCCAGAGTTTTTTCAGCGAAAAAAAAAAATGTTAAGGAAAAAATTTTATGCAGAGATGGATAGTCACGGTGGGGAGTGGGGGGCGCGAATAGTTTTCTTCTTGCTAGGAGGGGCGTAACGGAAAATAATTGAGAAGCACTGAGTAAATGTAACAGATTTGTTAAAAAAAAACAACAACAACAAAAAAGACGTATATTGGCTCTAAACTTCGCCCTGTTTATAATAATTTTCCTTCCTTTCAGGGGTTTGGATTCCTCCGACTATTTAATCGAGTCTTCTGCACTGCTGCCATCATTTCCAACTGGCTTCTATGCATTATTTAAACGTTCCCTTTTACAGGTAAAAGCTTCTGACTCCAGAATGGGATATTTTGAGATTTAACACATCTTCTTGCCCTTGAAGGGCGAAAGAAAACTGGACATAAATGTTCCTTAAAAGTCTCTTCAGTCCAAATTCTATTTGTAGTTTAGACAGAAAAAAAGCTGCATTTCCATTACAAATGTGCATTATTAGTGCACGCAACACTTAGTGAAGAACTTTTTTGCTTTCCTTGTCTTTTCTGTCATGCAAATAACTCAAAATGTCCCCGGTAGATTTCTTCACAGTCTTATTGTGGCCAGTCACATCAGGGGGATAATCTTTTTGTGTCAGGTTGTATAAATTAAGATGTTGTGTTAAGTGAGGCGGTTTGTGAGTGTAAAATGGGGTAAGTGTTCCTCGGTCTGAAAAAGTTTGAGAAACACTGTAATACCATCAGCTACCCAATCTGTGAACCCCACCGATGTCTTCTGAACCCCTTAGCGCTCTGACCTCCTTCGGCTGGGGATGAGTCCGACTTCAGGGCAGTTTGGGGGCGAGGGGCTGAGGTGGCGGGCGGGCCACCACTCCTCCTCGCCAGCGCTGCTCACATGGAGGATGTCCCCAAAGCCGAACGGCAGGGCCTGATTGGGCGCACTCAGATCTGCAGCACTTCCATCGTAGTCGAACAAAGCTCTGGAAACAAAAGAAACAGATATTCACAGACTAAATTTAATGCGCTGGCAGATTACGCTGCAAAAACACAAATTATCACCAAGTACGTTTGATGTAATTTCTAGTGAAAATGTCTTAGTACATTTGAAATAAAACAAAACAAGTAACTTTTAAGGACGATCTAGGAGCTTCTTTTAAGTCAATAATCCCTCAGAAATTCTAAAACTGTTGTAAGTTCCACGAACAGATTATTTCACTTCAAACATTGAAAAATGTCCTATAAGTGAAATAATCTGGCAGTGGAACTAGTACGTTTTATTAAATCAGTATTAAAAAATGTATTGACTCAAAACAAGCTCTTATATCTCCCTTAAAAATTACTTACAAGTTAAATGTACTATATGTACACTAGAAACTCGACTGAAGGTGCTTAGTAGGATTTTGTGTTTTTGCAGTGAACAACAGTCTTTTGGGACAATGATCCATTCAACAAGTAGGTTTTTCCTAATTAGTGTTCTGTTAAGATATTGGCACTAATAACTTCTCTGTTAACAGTGTTAGTTGTTACAATAGAAAAACCCAAAATATTACCAAATATTTAGACGTATTTTCCACTGCCAATACCTTAATATACTTGAAATAAGACAAAGTAAACTTACGACTTACTTTTCAGCAATTTATGAGCTTTTTTAAGTCAATAACTTCTTAATATTGATTAAAAAAATAAATAAAAAAATAAGACATTCTTCCCAATCTGCCAGTGAAACTAGTGTGTTTTAATCAAAGTAAGAATTTTTTTACTTAAAATGAGCTCCTATATCTTGCTGAAATAATACTTATGAGTTATTTTTGTCATATTTGAAGTGTACTAAGATATTTGGACTAGAAACTGGTTTTGGCTAGATTAACATCTCTCCTGACCTTTGTGAAAATGTGTTTTCAGATTAAGCACCACTATTCATATATTTAAACGCTTGACAAGCAAAACAGTTAGGTGAGAGTGTTGCTAACCAGTTCTCTGTAATTCATGCTTGCTGTTACATCTGAATGGTAATATGTGTGTGTGACCATAGGAAGCGAACTCTTCCGGAGGGAAAAGACCTGGGAAAAATAGGCCAGCAATATGTTTCTGCAACTGTGTGAATGCAAGGCAACTAGGGCTGAAATAAACTGAATTCCCAAATGTCCTTCCTGGCTTCATCAATAAAACAAGGCAAAGGCACAGGAGTGAGTGACAATGAAATCAGATGGAGAAGACAGAGACAGAGACAGAGAGAGGGAGAGAGAGCTGTAAATAACCTTACGAAAGGTCAAAAAACGCCACCTAGAGTTTTAACAGCGTCTGAATAAAATGGAAAAAACTTGTACTAAAATATTACATAAAGAGGAGAACAAAAAGGGGTTCAGTACTTCAGTAAAGTGCTGTTAGATCAGATAATTACATATATAAACCCCTTACACGTTACAGTTTATGTACGGAAATGTCACGCATGCGCACAACGCTGGAGGGGAAAAAACAGGGCTTGTTTTATTTGCCAGTCATAAAGCGGCGCTGCTGCGGTAGAATGACTCCATTTATTAAATGAAACCCACAGATGTAGGTACAACCAATTAACGCTTTACGCAACAGCAAAGGAAAAAACAATGTGAAAAACTGTGAAAGATAACTCAAAATCACATTTTTCGCATTCTTTGTGTCGGCTGAACAACGCGCAGACTTGTTGCCATGGCAACGGGCAAAAACCAATACTTTATGTTTCAGGATTCAACACCAAAGAAGTACTCTAACATTTCAGACACAAAGAACAGAACATTCAGTATGTTACAGTTTCATGTTCTTAGGATTTAAGTTTATTTTCTATCATAAATAAAAGCTGCGGTAGATTAGCCACCGCTGCAAACAGCTAAGCTAACACTGCAGTGGTTGATTACCTAAATAAACACCTGCTCTACTCGTGATCTGGAGGAATTCATGTGTGGCTTGCCTTTTTTTTCTTCTTCTAACTGAACCGTAACACACTTAATTCCACACCACATTTTCACAGTGTATTCTAGGCCTGGGACCCGCCAGGCTTTCCTAGCCCACAGCCAGGCTTTCCTAGTCCACAGCCAGGCTTTCCTAGCCCACAGCCAGGCTTTCCTAGTCCACAGCCAGGCTTTCCTAGCCCACAGCCAGGCTTTCCTAGCCCACAGCCAGGCTTTTCTAGCCCACAGCCAGGCTTTCCTAGCCCACAGCCAGGCTTTCCTAGCCCACAGCCAGGCTTTCCTAGCCCACAGCCAGGCTTTCCTAGCCCACAGCCAGGCTTTCCTAGCCCACAGCCAGGCTTTCCTAGTCCACAGCCAGGCTTTCCTAGCCCACAGCCAGGCTTTCCTAGTCCACAGCCAGGCTTTCCTAGCCCACAGCCAGGCTTTCCTAGTCCACAGCCAGGCTTTCCTAGCCTACAGCCAGGCTTTCCTAGCCTACAGCCAGGCTTTTCTAGCCCACAGCCAGGCTTTCCTAGCCCACAACCAGGCTTTCCTAGCCCACAGCCAGGCTTTCCTAGCCCACAGCCAGGCTTTCCTAGCCCACAACCAGGCTTTCCTAGCCCACAGCCAGGCTTTCCTAGCCCACAGCCAGGCTAAGCAGCCGGACCAATCACACCGCCGCGTACTGCCTCGCGCGCTGCAGCAGCTGGATGGTAAATGATGATAAAATTTATGCCTATGTTCCCGGTTAGTCAGAGCGTTAGCGGTTAACGAACCAGTGCTAACCTCATCATGCAGGTTCACCATAAACTGGAGCAACAGTTTCTGTGGCCCTTATTAAAAACTCAACAGACACAAAATGGAAGAGCTATTAAAGCCACATTAGCAGCATTTAATTAAATCTCCTGTTTGTTGCGCATCTCTGCGCGCAGTGCAGCAGATTTAACTCATCATGCAGGGCCGGCACAAGGCTGTATGAGGACTTGGACAGAATTTAATCTTTAATCTTTATTAAGGACAGTGCACATTAATGAACAATCAACACTACTGTATAGATTGTAAATGAGCCAGATTATAGCATAATTGCTAATTTCCATCTGTAGTCCTAGACAAGGAGACCCAAACAACAAAAAAGACATTATAAACATACAATCAAGAATTAACAAACATTCAGAAAAAGACAGTAAAAAGTTAGTTAAAATGATGACATGTCTGGGAAGTTTTAAGAAACAGTTTCAGGTGTTTTTTAAAAACGCTGTAGGTGGAATACTCTCTGATTCTAGCTGGCACACTGTTCCAGAAGTGACTCCCTCTGACTGACAGAACCGTTTGCCCAAATGTTGTTTTTCTGTAAGGGATCGCCAGGTCTCCTCTTGGGCCCCCTTTTGTTGCTAAAAACATCAGCACCTTTAACGGCTTCGTACATTTAGTTTACTAAACTACTCCACCTCTACGAGAACCTAAAAAGCAATAAATTATAATTGCAGTTTACTAATTTGTATTTGTGAACAAACGGAGCTCAGACTCAAAGATTACACTCATAGCATCAGATTGTTGCTATGGTAACAAAACAAAATGAATATTGTTTTTTGAACTTTTACAAGGTAAACTTGCCAGATCCTGAAAATCTTGCATATAAATGTAAAAATATTTTTAACATTTTTTAATTTTGCATGCTAAAACCATTAAATCAAATTTAGAAGCATTGATAAACTCTATAAACAAATGTTACATTTATGTATCTGTGGTCTGTGTTGAAATATTAGCATTTATGGGGCCTCTGAACCCCTGGGGGCCTATGGAGCTGTTGACTTAATTTGGATTAAATTGAAGTAAAAATAATTGATACTCATTTGAATTGGATTTTTTGACTGTTATTTTTCAGAGTAGTTGTAGGTTTTTTTTGTTTTATTTTTTGTACAGCACTTTGTATCAGCTGTGGCTGTTTTAAAGTGCTTTATAAATAAAGTTGGTATGGTATGGTTTAAATAGTGTTTCACTGGCGATGTTTTCCAGGAACATATACCCTAACCCAGTAGTATATTTACATTCCCTGCCTATTTCACATCTTTTAGTACAAAAACACGGTGCACCGCCTTGGCGCCCCGACCACCGGGCTTACCAAGCTATCTGGGGGAAAACCTGATATCTAATCATACTTACTTATAAAGTGCATGGCGGAGTGAGCGGAGTTCTGGAGAGTGTGACGTCATGTGCAAAGGGTCAGTAGTTTGATTTGCAGAACTGATCTGATCGTTTCCATAGCAATGACCAGAAACAAGATCTTGCCTCAGAACTTCAGTGAGGTCACTGATGAGGTCACATACATCATAGATCAAAGAGGTTCTGAGGTTCTGCTTGTCTCTCAGAACGTCAGTCAGAACTGAAACGCTCAAGTTAACAGACCACAATGACAAATTTCGGAAAGATTCAAGATGGTGTGTTTTTTTTACTTGGATTCGGAGTAGGATACTTCGTAGCTAAAGGTATGAGGAAACTCTTAGATTATTACCACTCTGGAAGAGATTTGGACAGCAGTAGCTCTCAGGCTGAGAGGAACTTGTTGGGAGACGATATTTCCTCTCCTTCTGGAGGATTGTCTGAAGTTGAACCAATTGCTTTGACTTCTGCCCTTTCTAACACTGATGCTCATCCTGCTACTGCCGTTAGTCCTGACACTGCCGGTCGTCCTCTTGTTGCTCATCCTGTCACTGCTGCATGTCCTGCCCTTCCTACGACTAATGCCCTTCCTGCCACTGCAGCCCCTCCTGCTACTGCCATTTGTCCCACCACTGATGCTCATCCTGCCCTTCCTGCCCATCCTGCCCTTCCAGCCACTGATGCCCTTCCTGCCACTGCAGCTCCTCCTGTTAGTCCCGTCACTGCTGATCATCCTGCCCCTCTTGCCACTACTGCTTGTCCTGCCCTTCCTGCCACTGATGCTCATCCTGCCACTGATGCCCCTCATGCTACTGATGCTCAACCTACCCCTCTTGCCACTGATGCTCATCCTGATCCTCTAGCCACTGATGCTCATCCTGCCCCTCTTGCCACTGATGCTCATCCTGATCCTCTTGCCACTGATGCTCATCCTGCCCCTCTTGCCACTGATGCTCATCCTGATCCTCTTGCCACTGATGCTCATCCTGATCCTCTTGCCACTGATGCTCAACCTGATCCTCTTGCCACTGATGCTCATCCTGATCCTCTTGCCACTGATGCTCATCCTGCCCCTCTTGCCACTGATGCTCATCCTGATCCTCTTGCCACTGATACTCATCCTTCCAAACAGGAAGAGAAAGAAAATCAAATGTTTGTTTTTTATGATCTCTTCCTCTTTGTCATTGTATTTTTTATTTGTTGGAACCACGAGTTTCTTTATTTTTATTTTGGTCATTTGTGTACATTTGTCTTGACTGTGATTATCATGATTATTTGTTTCATTGACCTTGGCTCATTAGAGCCGTTTACTCGCACACCTACGTATTACCAAAATCATGACCCTCTTGCCACTGATGCTCAGCCTGCCAGTGATGCCCTTCCTACCACTCACATCCCTACTGCTACTGCTGTTAGTCCTGCCACTGCTGATGGTCCTGACCCTCCAGTCACTGATGCTCATGCTGCCCCTCTTGCCAGTGCTGCTCATCCTGTCCCTCTTGCCACTTCTGATCATCCAGCCCCTCCAGCCACTGATGTTCAACTTGCCACTGATGCTCATCTTGCCCTTCCTGCCACTGATGCTCATCATGACCCTCTTGCCACTGATGCTCATCATGACCCTCTTGCCACTGATGCTCATCATGATCCTCTTGCCACTGATGCTCATCATGACCCTCTTGCCACTTCTGATCATCCAGCCCCTCCAGCCACTGATGTTCAACTTGCCACTGATGCTCATCATGACCCTCTTGCCACTGATGCTCATCCTGATCCTCTTGCCACAGATGCTCATCATGATCCTCTTGCCACAGATGCTCATCATGATCCTCTTGCCACTGATGCTCATCATGACCCTCTTGCCACTGATGCTCATCATGACCCTCTTGCCACTGATGCTCATCATGACCCTCTTGCCACTGATGCTCATCCTGACCCTCTTGCCACTTCTGATCATCCAGCCCCTCCAGCCACTGATGTTCAACTTGCCACTGATGCTCATCATGATCCTCTTGCCACTGATGCTCATCATGACCCTCTTGCCACTGATGCTCATCATGATCCTCTTGCCACTGATGCTCATCCTGATCCTCTTGCCACTGATGCTCATCATGACCCTCTTGCCACTGATGCTCATCCTGACCTTCTTGCCACTGATGCTCATCCTTCCAAACAGAAAGCGGAACGAAGTGAAAGGTTTGTTTTTCATGATGTCTACTTCTTGGTTATCGTATTTTTTATGTGTTGGTACAATGAGTTTCTTTATTTTTATTTTGGTAATCTGTTCATAATTGCCTTGATTGTGATTGTTACAATTATTTGTTTCATCGACCTTGGCACATTACCACCGCCGGAAGATAGACCTCAGCGGCGACAAACTTATGACAGACATAACGATGAAGCTTATCAGGCTTTTCTCGATCAACAAATTTATTATGCTTATACTACCGGTAATATTTATGAAGCTCTTCTTGCCCTTGAGGCTTATGATGCTGAGCATGAAAATGATGAACTTACTCCCACTGATGCATTTACTGATTCTGATACATTTATTGCCTCTGATGCATTTACTGCCTCTGATGAACTTACTGACTCTGATACATTTATTGCCTCGGATGCATTTACTGCCGCTGATGCTTTTTCTCCCCTTCCGTCTACTGATGATGATGATCATGCTACCCCTATTGCAAGACAAGCAAGAAGGACAAGAAGGGCTCCTCGTCATACCCTTCCTGTAACTGCTGCTTGTTGTGCCATTCCTGCTCGTCCTGCCCCTTATGCCCTTCTTAACTCTAATGCTCGTCCTGCCCCTTCCTGCCACTGCTGCTCATCCTGCCCTTCCTGCCACTGCCATTCATCCCGGCCTTCCTATCGCTGATGCTCATCCTGCCACTGATGCCCTTCCTGCCAGTGATGCCCCTTCTGCTACTGCCGTTAGACTCACAACTGCTGATTGTCCTGCCCCTTTGGCCACTGATGTTCATCCTGCCCCTCTTGCCACTGCTGCTCGACCTGCCCTTCCTGCGATTCCTCTCCGTCCTCCCACTGATGCTTATTTTGCCCTTCTTGCCACTGAAGCCCCACTTGCTCCTGGCGTTAGTCCCGCCACTGCCAATCGTCCTGACCCTCTTGCCACTGCTGCTTGTCCTGCCCTTCCTGCCACTGATGCTCATCTTGCCCCTCTTCCCACTGATGCTCATCTGACTGACTACAAAGTCAGTCAGTCAGATGAGTCATTTTTACAAAGTCAACATCATTTTTACAGTAAGAGTAAAAATGTATTTTCTATAAAGTCTACTCAAATACAGTCACTGATCAAATTATTAATCATTTAATTATTAATCAGACAAATGAAAATATAAAGTTAAGTGGAAATGTTGGTATTTTAGGGACAAAAATTACAATAATTTATCTAAGTAACAAAATACAACAACTACTTGTTTCCAAATTAGATTTTTTTAATGAAAAACTTATGAAACTTAGACAAAAACTGAAGTTTCTTGTACTCAGTTGAAATAATTTTGGTTTTAATTTAGTGGGTAGTAAACCTAGTAAGACTAAAAATACATCAAAATAAAATTACTCAACTAAAAGTAGAGAGAACAGTGTAGTAAATATATTTTTAAAAGTAATTTATTTAAAAAAATGTACTCAAATAGTTGTGTTTGAGTAAATGTAACCAATTACTACCCAACTGAGTAGCTGATCAAAGGATCAATTATTTAATACTTAAAAATGACAAAATATACAAATTTAGGTTGGAATTTTGGTATTTTAAGAACCAAAAACTGACAATATTTTAGAAAAGTAAGAAACAACAAAATCAGGCAAAATAAAATATCTCCAGATCAGTTTTTTTCAATAAATAAAATGATGAAATTTTAATAAAAATTGCAGGTATGTGTCTGTCTGGCAAAGTTGGTTAAAATGTATTTGTTTTTCTTTCATTGGGTAGAAAATAAAGTAAAAGTAGTGAAACTTCATTACATGTTTTCAAAAAGCTACTTGAGTAAATGTAACTGTTCTCTACCCAACTCTGCCTGCTACCTGGTCATACAGTGAATGTATTTATTCAAAAGCTGTACATAGAGAAAGACAGGTTGGACGATGCACTGCAAACATGAAGTTCAGGGTTTCAGATCTATGAAGTAACGAGCTTTGCAGCTATACATCACCAGGGAATAAAATCTTAAACCCAGAGTCATGTCTGCAAACGTCCCCAATGATTTGAAACCAAAAGAAAAAAGAAAAATGAAAATGTGTCACTGAGGGCTTTTGTGTAGAATTATTAAATGTGTTTCTAATTCAATTACTGGCTCTTAGTTCTGACATATTTTATTTGTTCATGAGTAGAAATCTCCGTGGTAAGACTCCAGAGGGAGAACAAACATTCATAATTACAATAATGTGTGACAAAAACACAATTACTTTGTTTGATAGGCTTCTGTAGCAGTTATGGCTGACTGGGACTTCTGCTGAGTCAGATTATTACTCCATTCATGTTTAACTTTCCACTAAAAGCTCAGATGGGATTTCTGCTTATGAGGCTTTATTTCAGAGGGTGAAACAAAAGGAAAATGGAGATGTATAATATTTTTGTGCAAGATGGAACAACACAGGCCACAATATGAAAGCAGACTGCAGCATAAACCTCTTGTACTTTTAGCTCACCTGCATCTCTTTGAGCAAATCTTGCTTAGTGCATTTGTTTTGGTTCTATTTATCCAAAATGCACTTCCACTTTCTGCTTTTGGAGCAATCTCCGGTTTCATTTAAATTGTTTGGTTGTTCACTTCAACCAAACCCAGACCGAGGCTTGTAGAACAACAAGAGTTTGCGTTTTTGGTCTGAATCAGAGTTTCATTATGTATTCAATTAGAGTTCAATTAAAGCAGACTAAACAGGGCTGATGTGAATGCAGCCTAAGTTAAAATCTCATTTAATTAAAGACTTTTTCTACTGTTTTACTACATTATTACATATAATAAAGCCTGTCTGTTCAGTCATTTTAAAAGGATTCAAAATCAATACGTCCTACAGGAATCCATGCAGCAAACAACAATGGCCTTTTCAGTATACAGAGAAACTGAAAACCTTTAAACATACCTCGAGCCCCAGTTGAGCTTCTATGCATTATAATTTGTTACAAATTCATTAAATCTTCAATCCCTCAGAGGTTAGTATTGACTGTGAAACATTCCTGCCAGGACTCTTCAAGTATTTCCCATCATTTGAAAGCCAAACATTGAAAAACAGCAGAACATGAAGTGGTCTGGTATTGTCATACCTTGCACCAACCACCACCTCTTCAGGTGAATCCTTCCGCAGGGTCATAAACGGTTGCAGTGTCAGAGTATTGAGCCATGCAGTGTGTTTAAATGTGAATTGAAAATGAGTCAGGGAAGCAGGGAGGAGAACAGCAGCAACCACACGCACGCACGCACGCACGCACACACGCACACACGCACACACACCTTTCACAAAGAGGGCAGCTCCACACACAGGACATAGAGTATGTCACTTTGTGTCAGTGACATTTCCACTGAGGCAACAGAAAAGGTTAACCTGTCTATTACACACAATGCAGGAGTATTTGGTACAAATACCAGATGTGTTCAGACATACTGTACATACATGCATGGACACCTAACAGCTGCCCAGAGCATCAAACACCCCAAATCTTTCACACCCCGACAGCAGCAGCTCAACCAGTCATTTCCTGTTTGACATTTTTCTCGGACTTGAAAGCTGATTGGTTATTTTCAAACAAAAAGTCAAATTTCAGACTTTTTAAGACTTTTTCTATGCTAGCCTCAGTGATATTTAAGCTAATGAACATCAGGCAGCACAACTTGTGATACATTTGCACTTACCCATGATAAAAACAAAAACACTAGCTAGTTAGCAAATGAGCTAGTGTATGTCAGCAGCTAGTTACATACAAGGTAGAATAATCCTGCAACATTTAAGACCTATGATTAGCCAATTTAAGGCCAACTTACACTTTTTAAAAAACAAATTTAAGGCATTTAAGGAACTGATTTAAAGAGAGATTCTACATACAGAGACTATAAAACTACAATTTGACGGCAAACTTAAAGGGGCAGTGTTATGTGTTTTCCAGGTACATAGTGGCATTTTATAGAGGGATTATCAGTCGACGTCACGCTGAGTCTGCAGCCAGCTGCTCCACTGCACATATCACCTTCAGAAAGCAGGCAAGAAAGCATTATTCTAAATATTTAACTCTACTTACAGTCAGGGTAATAAGATTATTTACAATTTGCCTCCAGTGCAGACCACCTCCCTCCCATACGAAGCTGAGTTGGACATCTGCACTTGTCAGAGGTTTCATTTTTAGCACATTGGTTCTGTACCTCACACCTCGTCCCGCTACATTTTTAATTTCTGAAGGCTTAGTGCATCACCTGCATGATGGATGCAGCTGCATCTTCATTTTCCCAGTAACTGTGACCAAATATGTCAGACATCTGGGCCATTTTCTCTCGTCATTTATCAACTCACCTGCATTTAAAGCCTATGGATCATTAAGACGCATCTCATTTATGTCAGTTTGGTAGAATAACTTATTTCATCGCGCTCTAATAAAACAGTTGTAGTCCACTGATTGACAGCATGCTAGCTAATGACAAAACAGCAAGGTAAATGCTGGTAACCATGGCAAGCAGGGAGCGTTTAGAGGCCGGCCCGACTCTTTTTTCTGTTGTTCGTGTGTCCGCTGTGTTTATAAACAAATAATCCCTCCTGGGCACAGTCAAGTAGTGACTGTTAACTTACGTTGTTATAAAAATACAATATGACATAAAATAAATTTTACTTTGTAATTTAAGGCCTTGAAATTGGGCCTCTCATGCCCCTGCAGAGCAGGCATGTTAAGGACGGATGTGGTGATTCAAAGAAGCCATGCAAGGACAAGACAGACACAGTAGACACACAATGCTGTGTTTTCCACTAAATCTAATGGAGATCTTATCAGAGATAACCCTTTTTCCAGGATTTCACGCTCACAAATGAACAGACAGCTGAGATTAGTTTTTCAGTGGTCTTTTCAGTGAGAAGGACACCGGAGAATCAGTCGTTTTGTGGCTTGGCTTTGCAGTACCTGATGTAAAGTGTGCGTTTCTGCGTGGAGCGGAGAGACGTGGAGCTGGAGCTGACGCTGCTGGTCATCATTTGTTCCCTCAGGTCATGGATCTTAGCCTCGAATCGACTGTACTCTATAAACAGAGAAGAAACAGTGTTAACCCCAGAGAAATCTTTTTCTTTTTGCACATTTTTTTTAGAGAGTGATTATACATCTGGGATTTTGGTTTAGGGCATTTTCTTTTAAATAAAATACCTGCTGCTCCAGATTGGAACCAGCGATTTTGTGCACTTCAATCATTTGTGTTCAGAAGATAAAAGAAGAGCACAGCATGACGAAGAAAAAAAAAGAAAAACCAAAAGGGAGGCAGAGGATCATTCCCAGTGATAATCACATTTCCACAAATGACTTCAGTGCAACAAGAAGTAGTTTAAAATTCATTAGAATCGTTAGAAGTTTTGTGAAACACAAACGATGCCTTAATGTGCACAAACAGAGCTTTTACATGTTCAATCAAACAGCAGTCAAAACACAACATTTTACCAAGTACTTGTGTCTACGTTCTGGTGCAAATGTCTTATTACACTTGAAGTAAACCAAAAATAAATTATAAAATATTTTTCAGCAAGACAAAGGAGCTTGTTTTAAGTAAGTTTATTTCAGTTAAGACAGTTTCTTCATGTTATTGGTGAAATGATTTGCCAATGAAACAAAAACTTTCACTATAACATAATTTATGTTTCAGAAATCCCTTCTTTTTTTTGGTTTTGTCTAATATTCTGTATTACATTAACTTAGATTTGGGGCTTTTGTAAGTTATAATAACAACAAATGAACCAAAACATGTGAAAATATAACACTCTACATCTGGTAGAGCTACATAACACATTTATGAAAATTGCTGATATAATCTAAACTTTTTGAAGATAATTGTATTTTACTGAGGTTTTTTCTGGTGAATATATTCTGTAGTTATATAAAAATCCTGTTGCATGTCTCACAATTTTGCTATGATTACTCTACATTAATCATTGTTTTCACTGCAAAAACACAAAATCTTAAGTTGTTTTTTGTTTCGTTTTTGGCACAAACATCTTAGTACGCTTGAATTAAAACAAATTAACTAAAAAGTAACTTATCAGCAAGATACAGAAGTTTGTTTCAGGTAAATAATTTCTTGATATTGATGAAAAAGTTGTAGTTATTTTGCAACCCCAGCCAAGCCCAGTCCGTTATCAAGCAACCCAGTTCTAGTTCCAGTGGCAGATTCTTTCAGTTATAGCAACACATTTTTCCCCATTATTCTAATATCTTATTATAAGTAAATTTACCTGCCAGTCTAACGGCAACTTTTCATCAATATTTAGGAAGTATTTACTTAAAACTTTAAAGTTCCTTGGAAGTTAGTTTTGTCTTATTTCAAGTGTAATAAGATATTTGTATTTCTGGAAACTAGACCAGAAATACTTTGTAAGGTTTTGTGTTTTTACAGTGTTGATGTCTCATTCTTAAGTTTATTAGATCTGATTAGGTATTATCCTCTCAGATTGGTTAATGGAGTTTGTAGAAAGCTAAAAAGAGACTTTCTGAAATAACATGGCACTTCTGAGACAAAACAAAATCATAATTCCTCCCTTCGACATGCCAACCGCTAATAAAATCTCCATGATGAAGAAATATAGAGTCCAAAGTTCACCAAATAAAACCTCTACAACTCATTAACTTCATCCACACGTGTGATTCAAATGAAGATCTGATTTTATGGCTTCATAAATGGCTGTGTGTGGAAAATACGCGAGTTGTAACTGAAGGGTCCAGTTAAAACCTGAGTGATGATGTCACTGTGTGACGTTGGAGTGGCTCAGTGTCAGCGTGATGGAGCGTCGCTGCTGCAGAAACTCATTAAGCTTTTATTGGTCCTTAGGCTGAAATGCTAAAACACAGCAGGTGAAACCGAATCGAACATTTGGGAAGGGATTTCCTGTAAATGTCAGACTTGTTCTTTTACTCTTGGGTGGGATAATTACACATTTCAGCACTAAAATATTTTCACAGAGCAGCAAATTTATCCAATAGGTATCAAAATACATACAAAATCCTTTTTTTTTTATCTGCAAAAAGAAAGGAATCCAGATATTTTTAAATATTGTATAAATACTATATTGCTTTTAATAAATATCTGTTTTTTGGTCATTATTATAAAATATAAGTTAAAATAAATGATTGCAATGAAAAAACACAAAATCTTCGCAAGTATTTTTGGTCTAGTCTCTATTCCAAACATCTTAAGACAAAACAAGCTCCTATATCTTGCTGAAAAGCTACTTTCAGTTAGTTTTGTCTGAAGATATCTGCAATGGACCAAAAATACTTGGTAAGATTTTGCGTCTTTCTAATGTGGATATGGAGATAGAAGATATAAATCACCTTTATTTTCCCACATAGGGGAATTCAGAAAAACGTTGATCTCAATTCTTATCTTTATGATTTTCTGCCAATAAAATTTATCAAACTGTTTTGCTTCTCAAACTAAAAGTGGGAAAGTTTTTCACTAGAAAATTACTGAACAAAAAACCTAAAGTGTTGAAATTAATTCAAACTTGTATTTATTTATTTTTTTCAAAAGAGTGGATTGTGATGGAAAAAGTTTTATCTGGTAATAAATTCAACATCAGAGTAAAAAAGTCATAATGTAATCACAGAACTTGTTGCTGATATCAGAAGGTATGAGATGACATTTATGCACAATTAATGTAATAATGATCAAAAAGTGAATAAAACCGAGAATAAAATGTTAAATGTTATGAGATGGGTCATATTGCTATCAATCACCCTCACAAGTTTCTTCCTGACAGCAGATTCTGTCGTGAATGCTACGCTAGTTAGCATAGTCACCGATGGCGACAGATCAACAGTTTTTCTGATTAGTAAATTGTTTCCCTGCCATTAGCACTTTTAGCATAGCGTTCACAAGGATGATTGACAGCGACAGGACAGGAGGACCCGCCTCCTGCCTCTGCCTGGTTGTTTTTCGATAGGAGCGGTACGTTTTTTGGACGGCCATTGCAGCTCAGGGAGGAATGGAGGAGATTGATCTTTTCACATTTTATCTGTCTCGTATTACACTGTGACAACATGGTGGCAGTTATAACAAATATGTAAAAAACATATTTTTCCATAAAAGTTACAAACTGTAGCTTTCAAGCACATTACAGTCAGTTTTTTAAAAGTATGAATTTTACAAACTATGACAAAATATTTATTATGGTGTAAAATCTTAAAAAGCAAGACACAAAAGGAGAATATTTCAACACAAGTCCTTCCGTTTGTTTTCCAAACCATCGTGTTAAATTGCAGAGGAGCAACTGGTTGGCCAATCAGCACAAAGTGCAATCCTTCCAGCATTTCAGCGTCCTGCTGCTGTGTGCAGCAAAAAACACTCAAGTTCCTGACCCAATTTTTCTAGTGGCAATAAAAATGTCATTGTGCCTCTTCAATTATGAATGCACATCAATTATGGAAATGCTCAAGGTAGAAGGGCTAATTATATAAAATGTGCTTAGATGTTGGGGGATAATTTGTGCTTAGATGATTGCTGTTTTGATGGATTCTAACCAGTGGACCCCCTACTGAGTGGACTGCAATATTTAAATCCAAAGCTGCAACAAAAAAACCCCCAGAAATGTGTCATAAATCCATGCTGACTATCTCCCACTCAGCTCCAGCAGCAGTAATAAACCCAAAAGGCCCCCCGCTGTAGGATGTCCTTGTGTGAGTGTCTGACCCATTACTGTGGACGACACAATCTAATTAACCCGGAGTAATTCAATCACACTCAAGGTACAGGCGGTCATGCATTTGCACACGCGAGATGGACCAATCTGGTTGCTGTAATATATTTGATTTTATCTAAGATGCATCTCAAATAAAGATGAATTTCATATTTAATTTCATGTGATACAAGCAACTAGTCAATGCAAAACAGGGTTAAGTCAAATTAGACGTTATTTATACCAAGAGATATTTATATGCTTTAGTGCTTAGTATATTTTCTGCTAACATAATGCCGAATAAAAAAAAATCGTACATCTTAATTATGCGAAAAATGAGAAAAATTTGCTTCTATTTGCTCTTTAGAAACAACTGGAAAACAAAACGACCTTCTGCAGAAACATTTTCTCCTTTTTTCTCTCTCAAACAGTTTGTCTGTTCAGAGCAAAGCCCAGTTCAGAGATTTATACCATCATTTTCTGTAATCCAGTTGAAAAATGATGAATTTTGTATTTCAGCATAAATCTGCACATTAAAGTACAAAACTAGCAGGCTGGAAGTTTCATATCTGAAAAGAGAAGCAGGAGGGATGAAAAATGAGTCCAGTTTTGATTGAGAGCAGCGAAAACGTTTCTGATAGACTTATAGAAAAGTTACAGAGAGGAAAACTGTTCCCCCTTTTTTTTTTTATCCGTGGCTGCAGATGAGATTTTATGACTCCTGACTCTTTAGAAACGCAAAAGGCAACGAAAAAGAAAGACGAGAGCAGAATTTGAAGCTGCAGATTTAGCATTTTCTAGCAAAAGATTCAGTCAGTCATCACTCTTTCAAGTTGAAAAAGTCTCATTCATACTAGAGGCGAGACATAAAACTGTCAGGCAATCGTTTGTCTCCGTGTCGGCTGTACTCACACACGGCCGGCGTCCACAACGTGATGCAGGCACGGTGGCTTTCAGATCAGAGTCTGACTGTGCGACAGAGAGAGACGTTTCATTCTCACAATCCAGGGATGTGCAGGAGCAGAAAGAGAAGAGCAGAGATGCTGGGAGAGAGCAGCAACGTGTGTGGGAGGGGTCGGGGGATATGCAGTGTGTGTGTGTGTGTGTGTGTGTGTGTGTGAAGAGTGAAAATTTGAAAAAAAAAATGTAAAAAATGAATTAGTGTGCATTAGAACGAGTCCAGAGCTGCTCAGATGCCAGAAACAACAGATGCTAACTCCCTATTCTTACTCCACTCCTCGCTCACTAGCGTGTTCGTTTTGCTCCTCCCCCTCTCTTGCTGTAGGGCGGAGACACACACACACACATACTGACTGACAAACAGACACACACAGTGTTTCCTCAGGTCACTCATGCAGGAAGCTGAGTCGGTGCCAGGCTCTCCTGCCCTACTTTGGCCTGGGGAGTCGCTTCAGCACCACGACACACAAAAAGCCCCGACCAAGCGATTTGAATACTGATTCCAGGAACTGAAGTATCCCAAACAGACAAAATTCTCATTTTCTGCCCCTTAGCTTTCAATTAAGTCTCAGACAATCCGCAATTAAGTTCTTCTGTCAACATACAGCAGCGTTATCGAGTAAAGAGCGACTGAAAACGATGTAAAGGAGAGAAAGAGAGTGATAGAGAAGAGGGGAAAGACGTGAAGAGGAGGAGGATGAAGAGAGAAAGAGAAAGGGGAGGGGGTGGTGACAGAGACAAATGGCTCAGGGGCTCATGTTCTCTGCTTCCTACATCTACCTTTCCTCTCCTGGTTCCCAGGAGGAGCATTGTTTCTCCACTGAACAGCTGGCGTTTTCTGCATTGTGTGCATCGGGCGGGAAACCTCTGGGGACGGGCAGATCGCGCCTCCAGGGCTGTGAGCATTGCACCAATATTTCCCCTCCAGATATATCTCTCTCTGTTCTCTGTTGATTGTTTAAACATCTCTGGATCATAACTGAAAACCTGTGTAAGGGAAATATGTGAGAACAGACTGTGGTAATAATTAGTGTCTCTGTTTAAACTGTACAATCTAATTCCCGGTAGTTCTCCTTATTTAAAAAAATATCTGTAAATCTTTTGGTTTTCATTGAGCTACCATATTTTTTGCACTATAGAGTGCACTGGATAATAAGGTGAGCAGTTAAAGAATTGTCTATGTTGGATATTTTTTCACTGGACTGTAAGGCGCATGAAGTGAAACAAAACAGTCAGTCAAAGCACAGTACGTTTTACTCAGATAGCCGAATGAAACTAAAACATTTTGACAGAGAGCCACACAAAATCGCTTCGAGGTCAGAAAGCTCAACCAGATTTAACCCATATTAACTCGCTAAAGGGAGCTATTTTACTCCAGAACAATATAGCGATCCAGATATATACATAAACCTTTAATTTGATCAAATTAAAGGCTTTCATAGCCGCCTCATAATCTGGAAAATACGGTACCTCACCGTCTGGTAGAATAAGTTCAATTGGGGACCAAACTGTGTCAAATCAACCAAACTGACTGAAGAACCTGTTTCCCTCCTGACCTGTGGGGGCGCTGCACCAAGGACCACACAAGAAAATGACACAAAACCTCAGAAGGCGACGCAGGGAGCAAATTCCTTCTGCACAAAAAATAAACTAAAAAGTTAAGATCTTAGAATACTAAGAAAATGAATGTAATCATCTGATTTAAAGACATAATTAATAATAAATAATTAAAATAATTTAATTATAAATACATCTGACATATATTTCTCATTAGTATGGCATTAATCAAATAGGAATAATTGTAGCAATTCGAACTGAACTAAAACAAAAAAGGTTCATGTCTTTTTATTCAATGTATGTAAACTTTTGATTTCTATAAAATTTTTGATATGCATTTCCTTTACCAAGATTTCTAAATAATCCCAGCATGTTTACCTCCGTAAAATGTGATTATAGTGGAAAATGCTAAAAAATTTTTTTACATATTTTTCAATTAATTAATGCTGCAATTTGTCATCCTTTGATTTTTTGTCAAAAACATTTAATGAAAAGTTGTTCAAAAGAAACACAAAATCACCTTTTAAGTCAGTCCTATGTAACATACATCGAGGAGTATAAGATCTAGGCTCTAAAAATAACAGTGCTGGTACTGTGGCTCATTAATAATTAAAGAGTCGAGCATCCTATGTAGGTATTGATTAGAATGATCAAGTTGCAAAAGAGATAAGAAAAGAAAACAGACTGAATCTCATCTCTATATGCTGGTATCAAATTGCAGAGTCAAAACAGTGATTTGCGTCACACAGCAAATCTCAAATCAGTCATCTACCCCCTACAACGGATGCCTGAAATCCCTGAGATCACATTTGTGTGGGTGGTGAGTCAGACCATTACCGCAGAAGAACTGGGGAGAGGAAGAGGAGCTGACAGGTGGAGAAGAGGAGCACATTCAAGAGACGAGCCAGAGGATTCAGGAGAGCGAGTATTTAGTCAACAACTTTACATTTAAAAGACAAACACAGAGAAGCTACTAATCCACCAAATAACAACAAACACACAGCAAATACATGCAAAGTTTAATAAGTAGGCTAACAGGAGTGAAAATAATCCCCTCTGCATCACCTCAGTATTACTGCTGTCAGAAACCGCCTCTGTGTGCGTGTGTGTGTGTGTGTGTGTGTGTGTGTGTGTGTGTGTGTGTGTGTGTGTGTGGGGGTGTGTGTGTGTGTGTGTGTGTGTGTGTGTGTGTGTGTGTGTGTGTGCGTGCGTGTGTGTGTGTTGACAGCAGTGTATAATCCCACCAAATAAAAACTTCTGTGCAACAGACCAACATCAGGAAACTTAATAATGTGGGCGAATATGACACCCAAAGGTCAGCCCTTTCTGGAACATTTAGTGCTTATTTGGCAAACAAGATATTCTTGTGATCAACAAACAGCGATGGTACCAGAAACCCGAGGAAGAGCAAATGAGACGGGAACAGAGGTCTTCAAAAAGCTAAAAATCTGAGGAATTCAGTTTCAAACCTTTTCGATCAGTTGCAGTCTCCTTTCTCCATCCATATATGTGTCGGATATTATTGGTGTATGAAAACTTTGTGTTTAGAAATGCAGTGAAGAGAAAAAGAAAACAATCCATGGTACTGTCCATGGTGCTGGAACAGTAATGTTGGACTTTTTTAATGCGAGTCCTAATTAAGACAACATGGCTGAAAAACACATCACAATATAAGTGTTTCATATCAGTCGATAGATAATTATTGATTTAAGCTGGTGATGTGACTTACTGCTTTATCCACAGTTTTCACTATTGTTTATTTTTAAGCAGTTATAAACGGTGGGAAAACCTGAAACTGCTGCTGCAAGTTAACTGTTGCTAGGTAACCAACGAGCGAGAGTTGCTAGGTAACCAAGCAGTGGTGGATCTGATTTTTTTATTTTTTGCCTTAATGTGACCTGTGCAGCTGCACAGATAATCCACGCCCCACACTGACATTGTGTTTCTTTATTCAGCCAAACTAAAAACATGAATCTTTAAGCATAAAAGTGCCACAGACACCACATAACACCGTGTTTGTTTTTCTTTCTTTCACAGCACTGCAGTAAAGTAAACTGCATACATAGTTCTTTAACTGTTAGCGTGTTCACCAGTTAGCCAGTTGCAGATTTTAAAGGAACCGTCCACACTGCTCTCTGGGTGATCTTGCTTTCAGTCTCCTTCAGGATCGCTGTGATAAACAACACATTATTTTGACTCAAACCTACATAAATTGTAAGAAACATTCCACAGAAAACTGAAGAAATTATGTTTGATCATGGATAAACAGAGACTTGCAACCAAGGCGATACCAAACAAACAGCTAAAGCGCCCGTTGCAACCCATATGAGACCTTTTCATGACTTTCTGAACAACACAGTTAAGAACTTTTCCGAATGTGACCCAGGCCCCATGGATATCCGATTCAATCTTTGCAAATGTGACCTGAATCTGACCGGCCAGGTCGCATTCATCTGACCTGATCGTCACCGATACTCTGCAAACGTCGCTGTTCTGCAACATGATACGCACAAGCGGCAAAGGAAAACAAGATCATGAGATATGCTCCACTATTGGCACCCATGTTTTCCGGAAACACTGAGCACTTCTTCTTGTTCTTCTTCTTGTTCTCTTTTATGGCAGTTGGCAAAGCACTGAGAACGCTCTCTAGTGTAACGTTATTGCGCCCTCTACTGAGCATGCGGGACACTTCCAGGTTGTTTACAGTCCACATACAAGTGTGCAAAAAAAAGAGGGAATAACAATTCAGACTTCATAAAAAAATGAAAGTTAAGATCCTGCAGACCTTTAGTCTGCAGCGTGAAGATAGTCATAGTCAAGCGTAAGGCTGGGCGACATGGATTTTAACTCTCATCACAATATTTTGTGAAACTATTGTTGCATTTCAAGGTAGAATTTTTTTTATTTTTTTTTTATAAAAGGAATTTTTTATTTGTATATTGTAATGTATTTCTAAAAAAAAATCTGCAGAATAAGCCAATATTTCTAAATCTGATTAACTGTCGTAATAATAAATTACAAAAATAATCATCAGTTCAGCCCTAAAATCGATGTTATTTATTACATTTAGACAAACTTGGTGTAAAAAAATGGTAATGAACTATATATAATATTGGTAAATATTAGTTATTGGCCGTAACAGAAATATTAGATATTGGCCCAAATTTTCTTATCAGTGCGTCTCGCTTGTAGTTACAATAAACACATTCAGGATGCTAACTTATTATGAAATAATTTTACACACAAAACACAAATCTACATCTGATGCTGAAAGCAACTTTTTCAATCCCTGTATCTTTCTACATTATATCTATCTGTCTGTACTCACACACACGCACGCACGTATACACACCCGCACACACACCCGCACACACACCATATTTAGCTGTGTTGTGCTTTTCTGTATTTGGCTGCAGCTCCATATTTAATACCAATAACAGGAGGAGACCTGCACATTCAGACACTTTTCCTCTCCTGCTGCTGGAGGTTGTTATGAGCTCCTGTCTTTTTGGCAGGAGCTGCGTGTGAAACAGAGGGCGAGCCGCACGCCGCCGCCATGGGAATGGGACAAACATGGACCTCAGATGAACACGCGCCGGCAAGGAGCTGAACCAAAACACAGCGTGGCCAGAAGGTTTGATGCCGAGTTCATTGGACAGTCAGAAGGAAAGTCTGTAGGAGTGTCACGACACACACACACACACACACACACACACACACACACACACACACACACACACACACACACACACACACACACACACACACACACACACACACTCTCCTCTGCTTCATCAATATTAGCTTTAGAGAATCGCTGTGTAAGAGGAAGCGAGATGAAAGCAGAAAGTTCATTTTGAAAATTGGCTAGTTTGGTATTACAAGGACTCCACTACAATTATTTAGTATTTACAACTTTCATTTTAATAAACTGCAACAGTTTATTTTAAAAGTCATGCAGGTTGTCACTTGGTGCTGTCATGTTTAAGATTATTTTGTCAAAATCTCATCAGGTTTGGGTCCAGGACCAAAGTCACAGTCTGACATGATTTTTCTGATTTTAAATGACTCACATTTAGCAGATTGTAAACAGAAAACAAGCATTTTTTTCTCCCAGTGATCAGCAGCAAAACCATCTGTTCAGACAACTGTTCAAATCCCTATTTTTATACTGCAGCTACATAAGATTATATTTAACACACATTCACTGATTAAACTGGAAAATAATCTGCAGTTGTGGATATTAAATCTTTTTTATCAAATTCTAAAAAATGATTAGAGAAATTTTACCCTGAACTCGACCAAATCAGTTCTAACAGTCAGAAAACTAATCAAACTGTAGCTAGCTTAACTAAGGCATAAAAATCAAAATAACAACAAGTAAATGACATAAATTAAATAAACACTATGGTACATTTTTCTTCTTGGTTTCAAGTTAAAGCAATAAGATTTCATTATAGGTTTTTGCTTTAATGTTTTAGCAATAAATACCTTCCTACCATGAAACTGAACAAGTTTAGGCAAAGTTATCAACTGTGACTGCGAGTCTTAAAGCAGTCACTCATAAGTTGGAAAAATCTGCTGAGAGAGAACTTTATATCCCGTCATGTTTTTGAAAAAATGTAAGTTTTGTTTGGCAGTAAACCAGGTGAAGACAGTTCAACCTTCAAGTTATCCAGAGAAATATCCACATATTTAGTGATATACAGTAATAAATCGATATCACAGACAGTCTCCTTATATTTCTTACCATAAACTCCCATGACATTTGCTTAATTGCTTAATTTGGAGCATTATTAGTTGATTTAACTTGCTCTGTTCTATACCTGCATGCCTTCTTGTTGTTAATGCCTGTACTCCAGTGACTGTTTTTGCATGAGATATACTGGATGAGGCTTCTTTTATCTTTTATTCTTGTTAACGGTTCATACAGTATTTATAGGTCATTTGCAGGATAGACCAAAATCCCCCCCAAAAAAAACACACACCAAGCTTACATCAAAGTCCAACCCGTATTTATGAGTTAATGTAAAGTGGATTGATCTGATTGATCGACTAATAACTAATTGATAAGCTTCATCATGTTTTCTCTGCGTTGACCTCTCAGAACAGAACCGAACAAAGTCCATTTCATCATCGCACATCGGACTCAGTTTGGACCGTTTTGCTTTCCTGTTCTGGTACGGCTCATTCGCCATCCTTAATTCTATATCAACAACTCCGCTTAAGGGGTGCCCTCTGGTGGACGGAGGCCAAACTACAACAGTGAAAGAAGGTCTAAAGAGAACATTTCTGGCTTTAGAGGCTTGGAAATGTTATTCTGAAATAATTACAAGCCCAACACATGAAAAAAATACATAACAAAACATCTTCATAGTAATGTTTTAATGCTCAGCTTAATCCATGATGTTATGTATTCACATGAGCACTTATTATGGTGACATAAGTGTAAACTCCTGAAACTAAAGTAAGCTCCATTTGAAGGAAGATGGCAAAAACAATGAAAAGTTGAAAATGTATGAAAGTTAGAGACTTTTCAAACAGCATAAAACAACAGATGAGATCAAAGTGAAAATCAAAGTGGCTTACAACAAAAAAACTCTGACTTATTTAATTTCAAACACATCAGGTCATCTTGTCAGCTCTTAAATCATAGCTAAATATGACATTGAGAACAAAAACTGGTGATGTTATTATTAGTCCTTTCAGTTGCGTCAATAAATATAAATAAAATTTTCATTTTTATGGCAATACTGGTCATGTGGAAGCAGAGAGAGAACCAACCGTCTTTGTTACAACATGCACTGGCTTCTCTAGCTGAATATTTCATAACGGCCTCACACAAACGCATCAAACACATTTCTTCCTCCAGAAGAGACATTCCAGCACTAAATCAGGGACCAGGAGGATAACCCTGGTGAAAATGTCTTTGTGTGTGTCCATTTGTAAAATGATCGACAACTGTGTGATCTATGTTCAACCCCCCACTGCAAACCGCTCAGTATTTACAACCTGGTTTCCTAGGTTACAACCTTCTGAGTCACACGATTTAGTTGTTGACCTCAATCGACAACTATGCAAGTCCATAGCAAGAGAAAGCAAAGATTTTACTTTTGAATGCATTTTCATCTTCTTTTGAAATCTCAAACATTGGTCAGTAAGCTTAGGAGAAACTATAGAATATTGTTAGATAGCTTTTGTCAAAAATATCAATCAATTTGACCACAAGATGATAGGTAAAGATTAGTTAAATTGGTTTGACGTGTCTGCAAACTTGCGACAGGATTGAGAAGCCAAAAGTTCAGTTGTGCTCAAGTTGCAGAAATTGGAATGATCACAAATAGAACTGTATCAACATTAAAAGTGGTAGAGGAAGCATCAAGCACTCTTCGACTGCACAAAAATGGTTGGAAGAAAAATATTTTTTTCTATCTTACTCAGGCTGGTTTTCTTTATATTTAAGCAACCAAATGGTGTTACCAAACACAAAGTTTCCTGTCATTTAATTTTTTTTAAATTTCATTCACTCAATAATGAATATAAATACTTTATGTAAAAACTAAAATAAATGAATTAAAAGGAGTAGAAGGAAGTATAGACTTATAATATCTGCCACCTATCCACATAAAAAAGAAAACTTTCTATTCAGCTCAAAAGACTATGGCTGTGTCAAGATTGAGCATATGATTGCTTAATATCATATCCTAAAAATAAATGTGCTGAATGAAAACATGCCAATGTTGAAGAAACTCTTGTTTGTTGGTAAAAAAATTTGGTGCTAGGATAAGGTGGTTTTTGTAGCCGTATCAAAATTGGTTGACTTTGTAAAATAGGAATTCTACCTTTGACTAAATATTTTATTTAAGAATTTAAAATGTAACTTTTCTGCGGAAGGTTTTCCCAAGAAAAGGACAGATATGGACAGACCTGAAATATTGCTAATTATTTGGGATTCACCCCTTCTTCATCAGAACCTGATTTAAAGGTTTACAGATTCACAGATCTTTTCTACTTACCCTCAGGTCTGTACTGAGCTACAATAGTCACTGTTTGTCCAGCATTCTTCAGAGCTGCAGCTGCCTGCTCATGTGTTGCACTGGACAGGTCCACCCCGTTCACCTGCACATACAAACACAAAACTCTTTGAGCCCAGATCCTAATATTCAAAGTGCATCTTAGTGGGTCGGTGCGTCCGGCTAACATCTATGCATTTAATACATCAAAATTATTCTCCAGAGTGCACTTGCATGAATAAATAATAACACAACTCTATAGGGATATTAAGCACCTCTGCAATCTGGGGATTATATTAATCTTGAATCCCTTCTTAAGAAAATTAAAACCATTTTTCATTTGAAGCCTCAACACCCACGCTCCAGAAAATATGACTTCAACAAACAACCAGTCCAGCCTGCCTCAACTCACACAGCCAAACAGGCTGCAGTTGAGTAGAATTTCCCACATGTTTTTTTTTATTATTCCATATTTCTTTAGACATCTAAAATACATTGAAAAGAGAAATCCTGCAGGTTTTAAAATGGGATTAAACTGTCACTCTGTGCTGCCGTTTTAACATTAGCCAGCGTGTCGACGCCGTCGTATCCTGCAACTGTTTATCACAGTGTGATAAGTTGCTGTACAAAATTGCGATTAGTGAATGTCAATTTGGCAACTTATTTCATTTGTAAAATGAGTAGATTATTTAACTTATAGCGCGGGAAACATGACTTTTTATCACTAAAATGCAATCCCGGTCTTTAAACTGTCGCATTGTTGCTGTATATTAAAACTGCAAGTAGAGCTAGCATGTTTTTCCATCAATATTAAGGAATTATTCACTTAAAACAAGCTCATATAATGATCCGGCTGGAACACGGTGTGCTGCATCAAGAAACATAATTTGATGAAGCTTCGAGGCAGATAAATTTTCCTTGAGGATTTTTAATAATCAAGATACTCGAATCATTTGAGGAATTATTTCAGCTCTACTCAAGTTACAGTTTATTTTTAATAGCACATTTACCCCAGCAATAACAACATCACAGGTAGATAAATGATGAAACAGAAAACAAAATTAAGTTTGGTAAAAATAATAAGACAAATACAAAATGGGCAGAAAATACTTAATATGAATGAAAACCAAGACATCTTTAATTTCAGCTGCAGCAATTTACCAAAGAAGAAAAGAAAAAAACTGAAGTATTAATTATCTGTCAGTGAAGCTAGTACTTTTTCCTCAATTTTAAGAAATGATTGTCTTAAAACAGCCTGAAAAATTACTTGTAAGTTATTTTTGTCCGATATTATATGTACTAAGATATTTGCACTAGAAACTAGACCAAAAGTACTTGGTAAGATTTTCTATTTTTGAAGTGCATGTAAACTAAGTAGTAACAGAAGTAGAATTGTTTCAATTACAAATCATAATGGAGACAGAAACTGTCTTGGAAGAGATTTTAGTTCGTACCGATAGGAGGCGGTCTCCTTTTCGGAGCTCGCCACATAGATCAGCTGGACCTCCAGCCAGGATGAAGGAGATGAAGATCCCCTCACCATCCTCCCCTCCAACGATGTTGAAGCCGAGACCCGTGGATCCCCTTTGCAGAACCACTCGCCTGGGTTCTCTGAGAAAAACACAAACCCCAGAGCAGAGATGAAACACATGAAAACAGTGTGCAGGATGGCATATCCCAAAGAGTAATATGATAATACCAGGTGTGAAGGTGATGGAATATTTCAGATGGAGGAAGATTTTCACTTGGAGGTTATGCATTATGTTCACCAGCAGATGTCAGGATAACACTTTCTCAGTTTTTTGCAGCTCCTACAACTAACCATGCTTCTTACACACACTGCTAATTTTGGTATTGTACAAAGTATTTTTATGTACAGTAAACTTCCTCTAACAAAAAATTTACCTGTCATTTAAACTTGTGCAAGACCCTGACTATGTTTTAGCTTAACAATGATGTAGAGAGTCCTTTGACTAATTTTCTTTCTTAAAATATTGTTTACTTAGTATATTAGTGAACACATAAAATCAAAGAAACTCTTAAGCAATAACCGGGCCCTTTTACTGCTTTGCCAAAAAGTTTGGACACTCCTGCTTTCCTATTTATAATACGCTTCTTCAGGTCACCAGTCACATCTAAAATACATACGAACTTCAGTAAATCCTGTTTTTTGGGATGCACAAAAACAAATATTTGGATAGATATTGATATCCAGTTTTCAATATTTACCTATTTTATGGCCGATAACTGATATTGTGGATATTACAAATATTTCACAGCCATTTTGACACCTTTGGGGGAAACCCCAATCAGAAAAAGATAAAAATAAATATTGGTTACTCATATTTGGCTTTTGGGTTTATCTTTAGTCGCATTGATTATTGCAACAGCGTCTTCACAGGCCTGTCCAACAAATCAATCAAACAGCTGCAGCTGATCCAGAATGCTGCTGCTCGCGTTCTCACTAGAACCAGGAAAATAGAGCACATAACACCTGTTTAAAGTCCCTCCACTGGCTCCCTGTAGCTCAAAGAATAGATTTTAAAATACTGTTAGTTTACAAATCACTGAATGGTTTGGCACCACAATACATCAAAGATCTGCTGTTGTTGTATCAACCTTCCAGACCTCTCAGGTCTTCTGGTTCTGGTTCTGCTCTGCATCCAGAACCAGAACCAAAAGAGGAGAAACAGCTTTCAGCATCTACGCACCAAAAAATTTGGAACAAACTTCCAGAAAACTGTAAAACAGCGGAAACCCTGACTTTCTTTAAATCGCAATTAAAAACACACCTGTTTAGAATTGTTTTTGAAATGTAATATGTAACAATGTATTGTTTATTCCATGATGCATGACTTTGTGTTCTTGTGTTTATCATGTAAAGCACTTTGAAATGCCTTGCTTAAATGTGCTATACAAATAAAATTTGATTGATTGATTGACTGGCCCAGTTTTATTTATCAGACCAATATATTGTGCATTCCTGCATATTTTCAAATGTATTGATATTTATTGAAACACATTTCCTAAGAAACATTTGACAACATGGGCACTTTTAGAAGGTTTTAAGCATTATTAGTTGGAACCTATTGTGACAACAATAAATCAAAATCTTATCATGATAACAAAATTATCATTTATAATAATAAATGCAGTTTGGTAATCATAAATATCTTAGTACATTTGAAATAAGACAAAAATAATGTGCAAGTATTTTTTCAGAAAGACATAGGAGGTTGGTTTAAGTAAATAATTCCTCAATATTGATAAAAATCCCAAACAACGCACATTATCTCTTTTTAAAAATTTACTTTAGCTGGATAACAAGTTATCCAGCTAAAATTAAAAACAAATGTCTTCATAACTAGTTTCTGTGGATATTTAAAGAAACAGTATTAAAATATAGAACTGGGAAATTATAACCAAATAAGTACCAAATGTTTCAATTTAAAAGTGGTTAGAGAAGGACTGAAGGTACAAAAATGGATTTAAGTGGACAATTTGTTAAATTTACATCTCTATTGTCAGAAAAAAAGCAACTAGAGAAAAGCAGACGTCAAAATGACCATCCTGCATTCAGTCTGGGTCTTATCAGATTTATTATAGTCGACGCTCGTTCATTGGCCCAAAGGTTTGTGACGAAACGAGTCATTTTCTGGTAACCACGGTGATGCCAGTGGAGTGACTGGATGGGCTTTAATCCCTCCATTAAAATGGATTAAAGACAGTGGAGCAGCACTGGGAGGAGATCTGACTGTGTTTGTGTGTATATGAGCACATATGTGACCTGAGTTTACACGCCAGACTAAAATTCACACAGCCATCTGCCTTTCACTGCTAACAACACACACAAGCAGCTGCAGAGTGGGAAGAAAATGATAGAGGTCACTGAGTTCATATTGGAACCTCAACAAGTCGTAAGTGGATAAAAAAAAGGCTTTTGGGTCAGAATAAATCTCTGAGAAGGATAATAAACAAACCAGAAAGAGAAACACACAGGCAAGCACAAAGAAAATGAGTTTAGATTTTATATCTATCTGTGTTTGTGTGTAAATCCAAATTGTGCAGACGATAAAACCTGGAGTATTCACCCTTTCCAACTACGTCACTTAACCACTCGAGGCGCCATGATGGACGCCGGAAGTGAGGGACGGGAAACAGCTAGCTTAGCAACCGACCCGAACCTCCTCCCTCCTGATGTGTTGATCAAACTACCGACTTTGCCTGAATTCACACCACATTACTTATGTCACTTATATTACTTATAAACAGCGTTTCCCCTTCACATCCGAGCAGGTTAAAAAATTACAGAAGACGAGATGCTAACCATTTTTTTATGCTACATGACGGTACTGCTTTGTCTCCATGGTTACTGCTCGACGCGTACCGTCTCCCTGTACTTCTAATCATACTTACTTGTGACGTATATTATAACGTTAGTCTTCTTATTGTGTAAAAAGAGTTCGCATTAAATCCGCGATTAAACCGAGTGCTGCCAGTCTTTGTAACTGGCGGCTTATATCCATCGCCGCCGTTTCGTTCCTCATCAAACGTTATACAATAAAATGACAAGTTTGGTTTGCATTGTTGTCTGTTTGTGCGTCCGACCTCGCAGCAACCCCTGGCCATTTTTAAAGTGAAATAAGCTAACTAAAAGCGATGTTAGACTACAGATAATATCTTCTTCTTTTGTGTTTTATTGGCGGATGGCAACCAACTTAAGGTGCATTTACCGCCACCTACCGGACTGGAGTGTGGCCGTTGATGATATTCAGTGGGAATCTAATCAGACACACCGACGTTAAAGATGTCTGTTTTAGACCAACATTAAAGGAGCGCATTGGTTGTTTTGATTTCCGTCATGGCGGAGTTCTGGAGAGCGTGACGTCATAATATTCTCACCTGGGAACGTCTTCGTCTGTCGTCAGGCTCCTGGGCAGCGGAGAGTATCTGGGCGTGGTCAGAGGGGCGGGGCTCACAGACTGGCTCCCACTCATGTACGGACTCACGTGGTTGTCCTGATGTGGGGAATATGCTGGTGGAAAACATAAGCAGGTTTTTAATGTGTGAAGGATCATAATTTAGAAGCTTTAATGCAGTTTGCATTAAAAAAAAGCAACCTATATTAGTTTAAAACTGTTAAAAATTTTAATTTATAGAGGCAAGAACACAAAATATTTTGGTCTAGTTTCAACTCCAAATATTTTTCTATGCTTAAAATAAGCCAAAACTAATGCTCGAGTAACTTTTCAGAAAGATATAGGACCTTGTTTTAAGTAAATAATTTCTTGATCATTTTATAACATGGTTGTAAGGTAGTTTTGTCTTATTTCACATGTTCTAAGATATTTGTGCAAGAAACTAGACCAAAACTACAATTTGTACAATTTGTGTTTTTCCAGGTAACAATGCATTGGCATCAGTAGGACCTCACTGCTGTATTAACCAAATTAAATTTAAAATAATTTAATTTCTAGATAGAATCACATGATATTTTATTATTATTATTATTATTATTATTATTATTATTATTATTATTATTATTATTATTATTATTATTATTATTATATTCTTAACTAGGCCTCACTGTCTGGTTCTGCTTCAGCTCCATTCTTCATGACACAAGAGTATCTTTGTAAATGAACCTGATTTACTTCATTTATTAAATCAGAAATCCTATAGCTATACCAGCCTTTTAACAAAGTCCCTCTTACTTTCCAGATTTTAATGTTTTTTTGTTTTTTTTTACAGCATGTCATCTTTTGACGTTTTCACCTTGAATGCTTTTGAGTTTATGATTCATAAATGAGTCACTCTGACGCCTCACTATTCAAAGCCTTAAAGCAAACCTTCGCCCCTTCCTTTCTTTCCTTGCTTATCTCCTGCTCTACCTGAATTCTTTATCATTACAGTAGCGAGAGTGAAGTTTATGCATTGTAATGATTCCTTTAATGATTAAATTATTTAGCCGGAGTTTTAAAAGGATTATACAACAAACGTCTTTATGAAATAGTGCAAAAATTAACATTTATTGTGTGTTTCTCTAAGCAAATTTAACTGCAAAGAAACAATCCGTCATAATTCTTGAAGGATTATTGATCACTTTTATTATCAGTTGGTCTGTGGCATAGATTATTGTTCTGTTGAAACACGAAGCAGAAGTTCATTTCCTACATCTGATTAATCCTTTGAGCATTTTGGGAGACTCGAGGATACTCCCAGTGGATAAATAATGAGAAATTTACACCCTGGGCAGGTTGCTGGTCCATTATAGGACAACACAGAGCTACACACGACAAACAACCCTGGGGGAATCTAGACGGTGTGTTTTTGAACTGCAGGAGGCTGGATGACCTAGAAACTACACCAAGAACATGCAAACCCATTATGCTTTTGCTAAAAAGTGTGCCACAGTGTGGCAAAGGTTTCAACTAGAGCTGCACAGTTCACTGAACCGCAATAGTTTCTGGAGAAATAGCATGAGCTACACTGCAATTACAAATGGCTGCTTGGAAACTGTGAGGTGTTACGCCTTGGATATCAATCTGTTATGTTTATCCATGAGACACTTTACTGTTAGAGAAACTATTTTAGTGGATGAGATGCTAATGCTAATCAAACTTTAGCATCTAAAACATCAGTTTGACTTTTCACAATAAAGCTACATTTTTTCAGCAGCCACATAGCTAAACAAAATGCTTCTGAGAAAAGCTTCAAGGATGTTTGAAGCAACCAAGGTGAGGCTTTCAAACCCAAACGTCTTCCACCGTCGGTCCAGCATGGTGGTAGAAGCATCATGCTGAGGCTCTGTTTAGCTTCCAACGTAGTAATTAAAGAGAAGTGGACAATAATCTTCAAATTTAGCTCAAACTGACAGATGTACGGTTGAAACCTGGACAGAGCTTGTGCTCCAACAGGATAATAATCTCAAACTCACCTGACAATTGGTAAGCAAAGGTAAAACAGGCTAAAACTGGAATAACCCTGAACCACGTTTCTAAAAGCTCTAAGAAGGCTAGTTTCTCTGCAACACTCTAAAAGACGTGGGAAAGTATTAGAGAGGATTACGTACATTATTTTGTACATAACATATAATTTACAATAAACTGCAACTGAGTTTATTGGCTCAGATGGAAGTATAAAAATATTACCAATGTGAATTTTGTGTTATAGTTTTGTTTTCAGTATTTTCATGAAATAATTTGATTACATGTCGACAACAGAATGACCCTAGAGTACCTGTAGCATTTCTTTTAATCTATTTTCTTGTCATTAGACTGAAAACTGGGGTTTTTAACATAACCTCGAAAAAAATAAAAACAATTTCTTTATTTTAAAACCCCAAAAATAGAAAATATATTTTTTTTAAATTACAATTTCCTTTAGTAGATATTTATGAATAAATTATTGTTTGACTCCTCATTAGCGAATGTGAGGTTTGTACTCACAGTTGGTGACATCGGGTGGAGGGAAGTTGTCATTAATGAAAAGGGAGCTGTGTTTGGCGACACGGAGGTACACAACGTCCGGAGTGGACTTTAGTGCCGCAACTGCCTCTTCATGAGTCACTTCCTCCAAGCAAGAAGCATTTACCTTCATGGAAAAGAAGGAAAAACCATAATTAAACCCCAGAAACACCACAAAAACGAAGTCAGAAAATGTTTATGCCGATGTAAAACAGAGAACTTGTGTCTGAATCTGGGACCTAAACGAGAAAACACAATAGAAAGAATAAAAAACGTTTCTTACAGCGACAAGTTTATCCCCTATTTGTAGCCGCCCATCTTTATGTGCAGCCCCTCCTTCGATGATTTTGGTCACATAGATGCTGTTGTCACCAGGAACGTGCTGGTTTCCAACACCGCCTGCTATGCTGAACCCTAAACCTGAGAGAAAATATCAACATTTAAAGGTCACGAATGCTACCAAGACACAACTAAATGTTCATGAAATACATTTAAACAAATGTATTTCATGAACACATGTATTTTAGCTAGACTTTTAGCTAATACTGGGAACACAAACATTTGAAATATATCTGCTATTATTGCCTTATAGTGTTTCACAAACAGTTTTAACTAATAATTAGCTGTTTGCTTTCCCTGCTGACTGATTTGACTTTTATTTTTGATTGAAAAATACTCCTGAGATAATTTGGACAACTAATGTTAAATTTTTATTTTAAGTATCTACTGATATTTTTAGGAAAAATATCAGTAGATATTTTAGATATATGTTGGATTTTTTTCTTATTTTAGACTCATATCTGGTCATTATTATTAAATCAGATACTATATTTTTAAAACATGTATCTAACTCAAGGCCTGTAGGTTACTTCAATTACTTGTGACATATTATGATAGTTAAATTATGTGACTTGTTGTGTTTCCAGGCATAATCAAGTAACTATGTTACCTTCAACTTTAAAAATGTGGAATATTTCTATATAAAATATGACTTTAAAACAAATTAACTTTGTAATTGGACCTCTGTCTCTTTGAAAATGTCTGTTCTCTGAAACTTCAGGAAGTCATCACAACATGGCTCCTTTATTGACCCTACTACTAATACTATTACTAATACTACTAACCCTAATAATTGACATTTTAGCCAGTATAACGAGCTCAGTGCAGTTTCACTAGGTGTTTGCTGATTGCACTGGCTAGTCTGAAGGAGTTGACTGTGGGAGAAGCTTCATCCTCGAGGGTGGAGCTTGGTCCACCCAGGCATTTTGCACAGCTGAATGCTTGCCATGGAGACTAAAGGATTTCTCACACATGCATGAAAGAGCCAAGCATGTTTGACTTTCCTGGTATGTTTTTGATGAGGGAATAAAGTTTATTTTAACACAACTTCTTGAAGTTAATTTTCCAGTGAATGTGAAAAGATGTTTAATATTTTATAATTTTGAGAAGTAATGCAAAGACAGCTATTTATTTTAACAGTTTTTTAATGGGTGACTCTATAAACACATTCTGCCATAACATTTGAGGACATTCATAATCTGGATTTGGCCGCTGCTTTAAAACTAAGACAATAAGGTTTGTATACTCCCGGGTTCGATGTGTTCCTCACCTTTTGGCCCTTTGACCAGCTTAATGTCCATGATCCTCTCAGCGAGGCTCCTCCGTCGTCGTATGCAGAGCCGGACGAGTCCTCCCGCCTCCTTCAGCGCCTCCACCGCCCCGCTGTGAGTCACCTCCCTCACATCCGTGTCATTCACCCGGACTATGCAGTCATTCACCCTGCACAGCAAAATTTAGCAATTTTTTTGTTTGCATTGATAAATTTTTCTTTTATTGCACGGGCAAGATATCAAAATTTAAGAAAAATTTTTAGTCCAGGAATAAATTAGATGTGACACATCTAAATTTTCTAAAGGCTAACTTTCTGCCAGCTGCTTTTCAAAATTTCACACCACATTTAATTACAGCACATCAGCTACTTTATTTAAAATTTTGTCCTGATGCATTTTAACTCATGATGGTAAATACATTTAATTGAACAAGAATGACTCTACCTGAGTCGTCCATTTTGGGCTGCAGCTCCTCCCGGGATGATTTTGGTGATAAAGATTGATGGATCTTCTCCAATGTGGGGGTTATCTGTGCCGCCAGCAATACTGAAGCCCAGTCCTGAGTTACCCTGCTCATAAAAAAAAAAACACAAGCCATGTGTAAAATGGTAAAAATATTTATATGCACAATTCCTGCGTCCACAATAATTTCAAATTTCTTAAAGTTGAAAGGTTTGGTTCCAATTTGGCAAAATCTCAGTTTGAAAGCAACAAGCGGCATGTCTGCACAGCAGCAAACTGCAGAAGAAGAGCAGCAAAAATATATTAAAGTTTCAAACTAAAACTTTAAGTGAATAAACAGACATATTCAACACATAGAATGAAAAATAAAAATCATGTTGATTTTCTGTTGGAAATAAAAGCAATTCAGTAATGTTTTTTTCAATGATTTGTAAAAAGAAATCACAATATCATAATAAGAGACACTTGGATCATGCAGGAACAAACACATGCTACGTTTGCATGCTAAATATTTATGTTTCACTCAGAGTTTTCACTACAGTGAATACACAGGTTCTTCTGAGGAGGAGAAGAAAATAAATAAATATCAGAGTAAAGCAATTAGAAAATGATAAGTTTGTGGGGTTTTTTTTGGTTCTTTCTTTGTAGTTGTTCTCTAAAATAAGCTTTATTGTTGTTTTTGTTCTTGTCTTCCTGATCTGACCTGTTGTTTTCTTCATCTGCTCAGTGTTTGGTCTCACAATCTGGCTGGAACTATTTTTATTACAAAAGTAACACAATCACAGAAACATGGCTGTCCAAAAAGACTTGGCACAAACCCGACTGAGCTGGTTCAGATGACAAAATAATCACCACACAGGATTTGGGCTAGCCTGCCTAACGTGGCTGAAACACACTGCAGAATAATGACCATAAAGGTGTTCCATATAATCCTGATGACATAGGAACAGCGGACAACAGAGGTCAAATAACTCAGTTGTCCAGAGGATTAAAACTTCATTTTAAAAAAAAACCTCATATGAACATGGATACCCTACAAAAATACAGTGTATATATTCAGAAACTGGTTTGTAGTTTGTTTTGTTTTTTAGTTGTAGTGACATTTGAATAATCACTAAATTGGCTTTTCACAGATTCATAATTTACTTTATTGCATGAACGTGTCCAGGGTCTGCAGGTGGAAATTTGCATTTTTTGCTAGAATGTTCCATGCATTAAAAGGTTAATGGTATGTTGCACATTGTTTCAGTGTAAATAAATTAACAGTATAAACAGAAAAACAATGGCAAGAACTAGTCCTGGGAATTCTGAATCGATCTAAAATGCTCAATAAATTGATTTCAGTCTATTTAATTTAAACTGAATTTCTAGGCAGGTTTCTGAATTAAAACTGAAATATTAACATCTATAATAAACAGAATGTAACAAACTTAATATAACCTACCAAAAATAATTTGTGTGAATAAATACACATTAATTTGTGCAATATTTTTATTTCTGCTAAACAAAAAGTCTAAAACAAGCCCAACCCAGAACAGATATTTGGTAGAACAGTTTCACACACTGACGTTTTTATTTTACGCTCCCCCCATGCGCCGTCATGGATTTAAATCCAGCGTAATGTCTGCGGCTGTGTTTCGTGTGTGTCCGTGGTGACTTTAAAGCAGATTCAGCCAAGCAGACAGAACCAGGTCACAGGAGAATGGAGCGATAGAGAGAGACACAGAAAGACGGCCTTGGGGAAGAGATAAAGGGAATACAATCAGGGAAGAGGGATCGCTGAGGCCTGTGAAGGGAAAGTGGGTGATGATGAAGAAGAAACGGCGAGGGCAGCGGAGAAGGTTTAGAAATGGACAAAAACGCTTAGGCTGAAAGAAAGAAGAGACAATAACATGAAGGTAGAGGAGGAACGATTTGACCATGAGGGAGAAGGAAGTTCTATGTTTAAGTTACGTAAATAACCATGAAATGTTTGACAGAATGAATAAAATAGGCAGAAAAAATAATCATATTCCTTCAACTAATTCCCCTTTTTGCATATTCCTACGGAAACCCATTTTCGCCATGAAAGAAAGAATAAAAGTCTAACAGGAAGTCATAATTTTGATTTTCAGTCAAAATTTTGAGATTTGAAGCCATAAATGTGATACAGAAAGTCATAATTACAACTTTGAAAATGGAAATTATGACTATGAATTTTATAATCATGAATTTGAAAGTTAAAATTGACTAAATCTCCTAATTATGACTTTGATTATGACATTCAGTGGCAAAATTATGACTTTGAATGTCAAAGTATAAATATAACTCATAATCATGACTTTGAAAGTTAAAATTATGACTTTGAATCTCATAACTATGACTGTCAAAGTCAAATTTTCACTTCCTGTTGGGCTTTTATTTTTTATTTCAGGGCACAAATGGGCTTCCATACATTTTCAACAATCACTGTATTAAAAATAAATTAATTAATTAATAAAAATTGATCAAGAACTTTAAAAGTGTAAACGGTTTTTCTATTTATTTTCAACAGCAGCTTTTTTCCAATAAAAGCAAACTTTTTGGAGAATTTCCCTGTCAATAATAAGTTTTTCTGCAAATACTCCAAAGTTACTAAAACACTTTTGGCTACCTTTCTGATTAATATACAATTTTTTAAAAGCATTTTTTATATCAACTTTTCAAATTGGTATAGTTTTCTTTTCATTTTGCACAGAACATGTAAAATGTGGTTCCAATGCAACAAAATGGAATGAGAATAGATTTTCAAGACTACATCACCGTGTCAGACACAAACTGCTCTTCATCACAAAATGAACAACTGTGCTTGCAAAAATTAAAAAATTGGGTTTTTTGTTTTCTTTTTGGTGTGTTTTTATGGAAAATAGAAATGAATGTAATATTATTTTACCCTCTCCAGCGTGATTTCCTCATACTCATAGTCTGCTTCTGTTCCATTGACCTGTGAGACAAAAAGAAACACTAATGAAAACCTGCATTATTAAAATAATACATTACTACTTTATTAAGAAATTCAAAGACAGTTCTGTCTGAAATTAAAATAACTTTGATTCCCAATAACTTGTTAATTTACGCATATTAAAATTTGTTCGCAATAACGATATGATAGAAGCATCTGTCACAATGAATCAATAAATCACACGACCAATTAAAATGAACTCAACAATTTCTATTTGCATGATTTATTGTTTTTCTATTTCAACCAAAAATTGGACAAAAAAAAAACAATGATATACTTCATGATAAATTTTATTTGTTGTTTCACTTGTTTTGTTTATTTATTTTGGATATTTAAAATGTCTTCCAAATGTAAATGTTCATCAGAATTTAAAGTTCATCAATCTTTGAGAATGTGTTCTTGGATTATTTTTCCATTGCTATTATGTCTAATGAAAATGGTCTGAAAACCATAATATTATTGTTCATAATATTATTGATAACTTCTGGGACAATTCATTTATACCTTGACAGATACATTTTAAACCAGATACAAACATCTGTTGTATAGTTTTTTCTGTTTTGTTTTTAATTTTTTTTTTAACCTACTGAACACTTTTTGAGACAATAAAAAACCTTTTAGGATAAATATAATGTAAGATCTTGATGTTTCTCAGCATTAGAGCAGCATTCAGCCAGTGTAATAAACTAAAACGAAACATTTACATTGACCTATAAGAAACCAGAGTATTAACTTGATCAGATTATTTGTACACTCACATGGGTCACACATTAAAGATTATGAAAGTGAATTTAGATCATATTTATGAATGACGTATAAATCCTGAAGAATAAAATCCCTAAAGCGTCTCTGACGTCACATTTAAAAGTGTCCCTCAGAAACGTTGACTGAAAAATGTTTTGACGTCTTTCAGTCCTGCAGAGACACGAGGCTGCAGATTTCTGACGCGAATGAGGAGCAAACAGATATGTTTTTTCAGACATCCTCTACGTTTGGTACTGACTGTGTTTTTCAGATGCATGCAGTGGAGCAAACAGGCGCGCACACATGCAGTGGTCAACTGGCATCCCAGGGGCCAATGTAATCCGCCTGGCTGTAATCTGTGTCTTTGTGCAGTCAGATTACTTTGGATTTTAGATTTTTTGCTGTTTTAAACCTGCCATGTGTTGTGCGCCTGTTCTCCATTTTGACTGAACGTTGCAACTGAGGGGCTTGATCATTTAAAAAGTGACATTACACAGTTCATTCTTGCACAAATAAGCCTTTAATTTAGCTTTTGCTAAACAGGGTTTTATTTGGACAATATTGTAGGTGTGAAGTTTGTCAAAATGTATTTATTCTCTAGAAAATGCATCGGCGTATTTTAAATTCTGCTGACAGTTGGTGGTTACCGTAGTAACCAGTGACTGGCAGCTCCGCCCCTTTGTTCCGTTGCCGCAGTAACGGAACAAAGCATGAGGATCAGCTCTGTTTTCTTTAGGAATATTATATTTTGACACATATTTTAACCATATACAGCATGACATGAGTGATTTTTGTGATATTTTATATGTTATTATGGATGATGAGCATTTTAACTACATTTAATCTTGCAACTGCTAGCTGCTGCTAACTGCTGCTGCTAACTGTTGTTGCTAACTGTTGCTGCTAACTGTTGCTGCTAACTGCTGCTGCTAACTGTTGCTGCTAACTGCTGCTGCTAACTTTTGCTGCTAACTGCTGCTGCTAGTTGTTCCTCGGAAGCCACAAGCTTGCAGTTTGCTTTGGATTATTTATTGTATTTTTTTTATATAGAGGCAGAAGCTGCTGGACTGATGTTAACCAACAACTTTTTTCCTCTTTTGTTAGAATAAATTCAGTGAACCTGAGTGTTTATGTCATGAAGTCGACCTACAGGAGCCGAGACGAACATAGAAGTTCGTCCCATAGAACGGCATCACGGCATATGCATGTGATGCCGATTATCGTAAAAGCTAAAAGTGCAAACAGTGAGTAGCCATCAGTAATATCATTCGGCTACAGGGAATCTGTCCCTGCTCGTAATTTCTTTCAGTTTCAGTCCAGCAGGGAATAGTTCCACAGTAATTACATAATAAAATTATCTAACAATCATTCCCTGCAGCAGCTGGCCAACAGCGAGATGACATCTGGATTCATCTAATTCCAGACGGAGAGTTCTGTTTAAACCGGGCCGCCGCTGTCTTTAATTTACTGGACAGAAAAGTTTAAGGCTCATTACACAAATTCGTGCTGCCGGAGCTGAAGCTTACAGGTTTGGACATCTTTTTAGGGATACGTTTGCCAATATTTACCTTGATGAAGCATAAAACAATAAAAGTTGACATATTTTTTTTCCTACACTGCAAAAACACAAAGTTTTTAGTACACCTGAATTAAGGTAAAGCTAACTTAAAAATAACTTTTGAGAAATATATAATAATAATAATTTCTCTATGTTGATGAAAATGTTCCAGTTCCACTGGCAGATTAATTTACTTATAACACTGGAAAAATGTCTTGTTGTAAGTGCAATAATCTGTCAGTGGAAGTAGTAATTTTTCTACAGTATTAAGGAATTATTTACTTAAAACAATGTCCTATATCTTTTAAAAAATAAGCAAGTTAGTTTTGTTGTACTAAGATTTTCATTAAAAAAATCAAAAATACTTGATAGCATTTTCAGTTTTTGCAGTGCATGCTTCCTAAATTGGGATTAAAATAATCAATAACATTTTAATTATATTTTTAATTTACACAATGTTTTTATGAATATTTTCGGTAAACTACATTTTTAAGTTTGTGTTAGTTTTATTTGATTTGTTTTGTCTTTCCTTTTCTTTCATTGGGAAACAAACCTTAGAGATATTAATATCAAATTAAAATCCCTGATCAGGTGAAAATAATTTGATTGGGGCAAATGAAGCTGAACATACAGAATTTATTTTCTTCTTTAAATGCTTATCCAACAGAAAATGTGAGTCATTTTTTGGACATTTTTTGATAAATCGAGACTTATTCATGTACGTTAATAAAGTTTAACATCAGCTGCTGCATAGATTTAATATCAAAGGTCAGAAAATAACAATATTCATTCCACCATGTCATTATTTTTACACAAAAATGAAACTAAAACAGAAACACTGCAAGTATTCTTTGTCCAGTTTCTAGTGGAAATATCTTAGCACACTTAAAATAAGACTAATGTGTAATTTTTCAGCAAGATATAGGATATTGTAGAAAAAGTTCTAGTTTCTTTGGCACATTATTTATAATGTGAAATATTTTGTCATAAGTGAAATAATCTGTCAATGAAACTGTTACTTTTTCTGAAATTTTAAGGAATTACCTTGCTCAAAGTTATTTGAACGATTGTCTTATCTCACTTCCAGTAAACTAAGATATTTGGCAAAGAAACTAGACCAAAATTACTTGGTAAGATTTTATGATTTTACAGTGAAGTTTACAGAACATTCTTTAATATGTGCAACTTTCAAATAACTTACACATATTTTTTTTCATTCTTATGACCATAAAATTGAATGACATATAAAAAAAAAAAAACAACAATAATTCCTCAAACAAGACTAGAAATACTCCATATGCAGAATTTGCTTTTCAGGAAGCTCCAATACAAACTGTTGATTAAATCCTAATCAATGTAATTAAAGCAGTACTCACATATGGGGGGGTGTCTACGCTGTCGGTATTGACCACCACTGGAGGGGGGTTGGCCTGCAAAAGAACACACACACAAAAAACAATAATTCGGTGACTTTAACCTCAGATATCTGAAAATAAAGCCGGGTTGCGGGAAGCTGAGAAAGCCGAAGCGAAGGCAGCGGAGCAGGACTTACTCGTCTCAGGTTTTGGTACAGCATGTTGAGTACATCTGCTATGGATTACCACCATGGAGCGACTGCGTACGCCGCATGACATGCTGCACAGCCCTTATAGTGGACAGCACTGACAACCACGCTATGCTACACTTTAAAAAACACTTTACAGGCGCCGTAAACTGAATTTAACGCTCTATTTTAACAGCTTACATCGCATTCCAGTGGTAGGATAACATCAGACTCTGACCAGCTGAATTAAGGCGACATTCTGGAGATTTTAAATTCATAAACACAACTTTTTATGCTACTTCTCTTTATCTTGCTACTTCTCCCACTGGATTATAAACAATAAATAATTAGAATTGTTTCTGAATCCTGAGAATATCAGCAATATCAGTGGATATTTGCATCAATCCACTGCTTTTCCTCTAGTCCTAATTTCTCTCCGGTGCTCCATCTTTAAGACAGCTAGTCTGAATAAAAGCTACAACTTCTCCAACAACAAAAAAAAGTTAGAAAAATAACTAAACCAGCACCAAAGAAGCTCATAAACCAAATGAACAGTCCGCTCTGACGTCCAAGTACAAATGTGTGACAGAGCGGCAGCAGAATCAACTGCTTTCCACTAATCTGTTCCACACATCGCCCTTTATCTCCTCTCACTTTTATCTCTCTCGCTCTCAAACACACACACATTATCTGAATCCATGTGTTTCTCCCTCTCCGTCCGTCGTGTCTGACTGCATGTCAGTCAGACTGGAGGCTTGATCCCACATGGGAACAGAGTGGGGATGTTCGGAGGGATTAAAGGTGCGGTGGGAGGAGTAGATCTGCCCGCTCTGCAGCAGCAGCGAGGAGCAGAGGACGCAGACAGACGCAGACAGGAAAAACACATGGAGAATAAAAAAAGATGAATGCACAGAGTTGAGAGCAGAAGTGGGGGAAGGTTCAGAGCGGCAAAGTGGAGATCATGGATATGGAGAGAGTGAGCTGCCAGCTGCAGCTGCTGTCATCGCCGTGTGAAAATGGGTGAGAAGAAACTGTTTAGAAAAGTGGATCATCTTGGAAACATCAAAAGTGAAAAGAAACATTTGTTATTGTGTCACATAATAATTTTAGATATTTCAGATTAAACAGCTCAATCCCATCAAAAAGATCCAAGACATAATAAATAAAATTATTCTGGAATACAAAATAGTTTCAAAATAATGAAAAAGTATTTTCTAGGCTTAGAAGTACAAAACACATTTACAATAAAGATAATTAATTTGTTTTTTATGATGTGTTTCTAACCCACTAGCAGATATAGTCTTGTGACCGAATTACTGCTTCACTGTATTTTAAAGTCAATTGAAAAACAATTTGATTAATTTAAGAAAAATATACATTAAAAGAATTTATTTTTGATATAAACTTGTTTTGTTACTTATCAAAATGTTGAAACAAAATCTCTCTATTTTGCTTTTTCAGGTGAAACAGTCACTTGCAAAGTGTTGACTGACTATAATATTAGCTAAGAATCGCTGACAGTCACTATTCCATCGCTTATTGGTAACCTTAGATGACCCCTTCTCAACTGTGACAATATTGTGTGTGTGTGTGTGTGTGGGCATGTGACACAAGTGACCAATCAACCAGTCAGCTGTGTTCTGTCTGGTGTTTTCATTGACAAGCCGAGTCAGGCTACATGCTTATATAATCAACATATGTGTGTGTTTGAGTTGTTTCATGAAAAGGCCATAAGCACACACACACACACACACACACACACACACACACACACACACACACACACACACACACACACACACACACACACACACACACACACACACACACACACACACACACACACACACACACAGCATCCATATCCAGATAGAGTGATTGTTAGTTGTTATATAATTGCGGTTACACCAGCTGTGTTATTATAGCATTACGACCCGGTTCAGCCCAGCCGCAGCTTAGGGAGGTTCAGACTAACCCGGTTCGCCTCATCAGGCAGAAACCGACAGACAAACAAGTGATTAACCCCTTCAGTCAGAGGTCACCATCATGCCTCACACAGGTTTTCAATTATATTTAACGCATAAATACAGATATTTAGATTAAGACAAAATCTTTTAAAATTAATCAAAGAATTATTCTGGGAAAATAAATCTGAATTTCAAGATTAAAGTCAGAATTTTGAGAAAGAAATGTCAAAATTTTGAGACTGCAGTCAGGATTTTGAAATTAAAATTATAATTATAAGAAAGAAAAGTCAATCATTTTAATTTTTTTCCAGTGGCACTAATCTTCTTCCTCATCATGTAAAACAAAGGTATAAACAAATTTCAAAAAACTATTCCCGCCACATTTTCTGGCATTTTGAAAAATAGAAATAATGTTGGTAATTCGAACTAACCTGAAACAAGAAAAGTTTGATCTGATTTAATTTCATTAAGTGAGAAAAAAATGTGTGTTTGTGTCTTTTTAGGTGATTTGTATGTAAATATCTGGTTTCAACTGTAGCAAATGTTTTCTATCTATAAGAACTGAATAAAAACAAATTAAAGATCAGAATAAATTATGTGGAGTAGATGTTGGTAGAAATAATTACATTTTATCCAGATGCATGGAAGGAGAGAATATGGAAACGAATGAGCCATAAAGCCATAAATAAAAATTGTTTTATCCATTGTGTCTATAATCGTCTTTCTTGCTGCATGATGTCATACGACACATTGGCCTGCTTTGGACGACAGTTAGCTCCCAACATGGCAGCCCGCTCCGTCTATCTTAATCTGCAATGCAACACTAATTGACTAATGAGTTAATGAGAAGGAGCGAGACTCTCATCAAATCAGAATGGCCAGGCTAATCACGCTAATCAGGCTATCAGAAGCATCTATCTCTGATCATTGCACCCGCTGCACACTAACTACCTCACCATCATTCACAGGCAGCTGCTCCGCTGGATTATTCCCCTCAGATTGCAACGATTTTACACATAAAATCTATTTTTTGTTGCAACTCTGACACTGCTTTTATCATTATGTTGTTATGGCTCATTGGCTGTTTGCTAAAATAGTTATAAAATTAATTTATGATGTAATTAGAAGTCATTTTCCACATCTAACAACATTTTGGGGCAAAATATTGAAAGTAGGTTCTACTTTAGCTTAATGTTATGCCAAAAACAGATACATTTTTCTGATTTTGGTGAAAATAAAAAAACTGAGAGATTCGATGCACCAATCCGATATTCATATCTCTATTGGTGCCGATTTTGGTATCGGTCTAATTCTAAACTCAATGCTCTGAGCGATGTCATGCTTTATTATTTATTTTACAGTGTATTTATCACTCCTAAATATATTTTATGACCTTTTAAAAGAAGATTTGTTTCAGTTTACGTTTGTATTTTTGACCAAGGAAATCAGTTCCAGTTCTTTATTATTTATTGTGAACAAATTAAAGTTGCTTTTACATGTTTGACCAAAATCGTGAATTTAGTGGTGTATTTCAGTGTGATGTGCAGGTGCAGAGAGCGGCTCTCTGCACCTGCACCTGTAAGGCGGAGCTAAGTCCAGGCATCATGCACAGTTGAACGATTACCATGGAGAATAAAGGATTTGTCCAGACATGTTTTTGATCTTAAAACTTTGAAACATGGTGCTGCCACTATAAGATCTATAACCGCATAAACCTACCTGCATATGGGTGTGTATCGGGACACAGTGGTGTACGATTGGCACGTGTGGATGCGCAGTCCAGATATATGTGTCACTGGGCCACGGCTTGCCACCAAACTTGCCTTTGCTCTTGGTGGGACTCTTCTTCACACTGTCTCTGAGGTTGGGAAACTTCCCTCGTGAAGTCCTGGTGGCCATGCTGGTGGGCAGCGTGCTCCAGCCGTAGCCTCCTAACCCCGAGCACAAAGGCAGCTGGGGCGAGTGGAACGGGTGGATGGACAAGGACTGGGAGGCATGAGGAAGAGGAGGGGTGCAGTTCTGCTGCTGCTGGCACTGCTGGAACAGCGAATGGTGACTGGACGATTGGCACTGGTGTTGCTGGTAGAGCTGATTGGTTGAAGGCGAGGTGAACAGACGACAAGGCGAGGCTGGTGGGCAGCATGGTTGGTGGTTCTGAGGAGGATGAAGCAACTGCTGGTGACTTGCTGACACATGGAGCTGGTGGTGGCTTGGAGAAAAATGGAGCTGTTGGTGGCTGGAGGATAGATGGAGTTGGTGTTGACTTGGCGATAGATGAAGTTGGCTGTGGCTTGGTGAGAGGAGAAGGTTGTTTGGTTGTTGCTGCGCCAACGGACATCCAACCGGATGACTTGGAGATGGCGGAGCTATGTGGTAGTAGCTAGGAGACGGAGAAGGAAGCAGGTGTTTCTGAGATTGGCAGCCATATTTGCCTGAATTGGGTAGACACTTTGGAGAGTGTAGCAGCAAAGGTTGCGTTTGGTGATTTGCCACCTGATTCTGCTTGGAGTGGCTCTTTCCTGATTTGCCTTTCCCTTTGGCAGATTTTCCCTTAGAGGAGCTGGGCTTTTTGGGGCTACAACAAAACTCGTGACTGTGGAAGTAGGTGGTCATGGTGACAAAAGTTTGGAAAATGCTACCGTTATAGTTTTCTTGAATTACATTTTTCGTTTGAGAGGAATGGTCTTCAAACAATGGGTTAAATCTTTGTACATCCAGAGATATTTTAGTCTTATTTGTTTGTGTTTCTCATGTATCTACAGCTGGTGGACATACAGAAGTTACAAAACCATATTTCAGATGGATCACTGAGTGGTAAACCATCCTCCTTTAGGGAAATGTCCAGTTTTAAAAGTGCAATAATCTCCATATAATCCAGGAGTGTTGAATCAAGAGGAAAGTAGAAGAAACTTGAGTGATG